AAGCTGTGAAGCTCTGGGATGAGGCTGACACATTTCTTACTTCATCACAGTACCAAAAGGGCTTGAAGCTGGCAGGTGATTTCCTGAGAAGCTATGCCTGGCTGAACCAATGGTCTTTGGAAAAGGACAGGATGAGTTTTCACATAGTTCCAAAACATCACAGCTTCATCCATCTGGTCTGGAATTCTAAGTTTTTAAACCCACGAACACAGTGGTGTTTCAAAGCTGAAGATTTTGTAGGGCAGGTGGCCAGATTGACCCATTCAGTCTCAATGGGAGTATCATCCACACGCCTGTCTTTAAAAGTTGCACCCAAGTATCGCATTTTGGTGCATCTTTTTTTGACAAGGTCCATGCAGGAGGAAAGTGGTGATTAGTTTGGAAAAGCTCTTTGCTTTGGAAAAGGCACAGTGTAGACTGGAAACTTTGGAAAAGGATTTCAGCCTACTGCTTTGGAAAAGGCCAGATGGCTTTGGAAAAAGCCAGCAGGATTACTTAGCCAGCTGTGTGTACATATATATATATATACTTTAGGTGCAAAGCCACCTAGAGATATGAGGCATGCCTTCAAAAATCTTGCTGCCAGAGCTGCATCTGGAAACACCTTTTTTGATCTGTTTTTAGAGGTTCCTTTTGATTTGCTCTTTTGATTTTTGCCTTTCAAAAACTATGTTTTTCAAATTGATTTTTGACTGAAAAATTTCAATTAGGCATTTTGATTTCTTAGGCCTCAAAATCAAATCTTTTGATTGTAATCAAAAGGCGATGCTCAGGGGAGGATCGGCGATCTCGGCGGCTGTAGGTGGAATTGTCCCAAGCAGCATTGTCATGCCAAGATCGGCGAGCATAGTCCCGGGAGCCAGAGGTAGCAGTCTCGCGGCGGCTCGGTGTATTGTGAGAGTCGTCCGGGGCCGGCTCCGAAGGTTCTGGGGCGTCGGCAGAAGGGTCAGGTCGTACTGGACGTGCAGAATCATCAGGAGGTTCCGAAGGTGCATTGGTCTCCGCAGTCTGGTGTGTGATCAAGCCCGGGAAAACCTGGTGAGTGGAGGCGACGTAGCATATAGATGCAGCGCTTGAGTTCATAGCCGTTGCATTGTCTTTGCCCTTGGCGATGCCCGCAAGGTTGCACAAGCGTTGGATTTGGTCATTTCCTCCAGCTAGGGCACGGATGCATTTGGGTGAGCGGCATATGGCCAGCAGGCCTGATGGGTTTTGTCCTTTGCCTATTTTGTAAAGCTGAGAGGTACAAATCCTGACAGCATAGCCGGGTAGGTTGTCGGTGTCTGCGATCTCAGAGGACATTCCGAAGAACCCGTAACACGGGTATTGGGTCGGTATACCGGCTTCGTTTTTTGTCCAAGTTGCCGGGCGGATGCAGTCTTCAGCAAGAATTTTGGCAACTGATTCCCAACTTGTCTTGTGGTAGATCAGGTAGGTGCCCATGTGTTCGCCACGGTAGATTGGTTTCTTCTTCAATCCTGTGGGAACCGTGATGGTCAGCAAGTTCTCTGGTTCAATATAGAAGGCTTGTGTTTGCTTTGCAAGTTCGATGTCCAGTAAGTCGGATTGTGCAAAGGCCCTGGCAATATTCCTGACGGTGGCTTGGCTGGCTTTGATCCAAATACGATGGTTGTTGACGGTGCGGTATGGTTTAGCCAACTGTTCGAACATCGCGTCCACAAACTGGTTGAAGAGCTGCAAGATAGCCGGGGTCAATGATTGGCGTAGAGGAACAACATGATCGGGGCCAAGCTCGGTCAGGCATCGAACTCTATGGGGGTCATTGGCCGCCGCCACCATTTCATCGAGGTCGATGTCATTCGTGTCAAACTTGGTGAGCGAAATGGTATCAGCAACCTCAGAATTTTCACTGTCGCCGTCCGGAACTCGGAAGGACACCGCGCCGAGTGGTGCTGAAGTGTGGGTTGGTGGGTTGGTTTGTGGTTCCGATGGTGGTGGATCAGTAGGAGAATTGGGTCGAGCAGTGTGGTGGTCGTAGGCGTCGTTGTAGTGGCTTTCGTTCCATGTACCCCAGGTGTCATCAGCATCAGGAGTAGGAATGTAGTTCGGATTGGATGGGTTTGCAGCAGGTCGAAGTATGACTTCACGGCCTCGGGATCGGTGACGTGGTGTCGCGGAGCGTGGGCGTGGATGGGAGCGGTGACGTCGAGGGACCACAGGAGAGCGGCGTCGTGGTGGTGAGCGTCGTCTGTATGGAGATGGTGTTCTGCGGCTCTTGTCGGGTTTCGTAGATGATCGATGACGAGGGAGAGGAGAACGAGGTCGCTCTGTACGTGGAGGAGAATGGCGAAGGCGATAGGAATGTACAGAAGGTCGATGGGAACGTGATCTTGGAGTTCGGGATCGTGGTCGGCGTGTTGGTGGTGGTGGACCGTGTGGTTGGTGAGGAGGAGCGATGGTTGGAGCTGGGACAATGCGATGGTCCTGAACGTCCGGTTCGGTGGGTCTGGCCTTTGGTGCAGGTGGAGGCGTGGCGATCAGTGGTGGTGTAGGTGTAGGTGGCGGTATCTGTGGTGTAGGATTCGGTGGATGTTCATCTTGTTGAAGAAGGAGTTGACGTTGTTCTTGTGCCCGTTGAGAATCCATGAGTAATAGTTGCTGAGCTTGGATAAGTCGAACAGATTCGGCCAGTTGTTGTGCGGTGGAACCCAGGGATGCAAGTTCAGGTGGAACGGATGAAGTCGGTGCTGTCTGAGGTGTCGATGGTGTAGCATGAGGAGGGGTTTTCGGAGCTGGTCTGCGCGGTCGATCCGGTCTTTTGTCAGAGCGATGCCTGGGAGCTGCTTTGACTGCTGGGGGCCGTGGTGAAGGCTCATTTGGAGGGATCGTCGATGCGTCCATCTGTAATGGAGGTTGAATGTGGTGAGGTAGGTATGGAGAACTGGGCAAAGGAGTCGGTGTCATAGTCGATGTAGGTGGTGTAGTCGATGTAGGGGATGGAGCCGAAGTGGAAGGCCACGCAGGTGGAGCGGTAGGTGCCATAGGAGATGGAAAAATCGACGGAGCGGTGTGTACCATAGTTGGTTCAGGAGCCAAAGGTGAAGGCATGGTGGGTACAAGTTGTGGACCTGGTACTGCATGAGGAGCCGAAGTCAATGAGGTGAACGGCAACGATGTTGGGGCGGATGTAGACGGCATGAGCGAAGCGGAGGATGACCATGTAGGATGCAAAGCCGAGGGATGTCCAAATAAATGTGCACTCGGTGTCGATTGCGGCCACGTCGAAGATGGGTTCGAAGGCTGTGGTGGAGCAGGCCATGATGTTGGAGTGTTCCACGGATGCATCGCTTCAGTAGGTCAAAACAAAAGTGGACAATTGTAAAAAGTTTCACATACAGGATTCAGTCCCTAACTACCTACAAAATCGTGCAATTATTCCCTGCACCGGGACCGTGGTCAAGTCGTGCCGCAATGGCATAAAACAGCTTTCAAGTTCCAACGAATTAGGTGCACAATATGTTTCACCTCACCAGACAACCATCAAAAGAAAGGATCACCACACCTGAAAGTCGTGTGCCTGCCTGATTTCTCTGTCATGATTTGATGCAACGGTGTTGCAAAGCAGCTGCAAAAAACGGAGGTTTCAGAACATTCGGAATGGCTTCCCTTGAAAGAACGCAGCACTGGGGTCCCTGGGACAATAGGAGCGGCGGGACATCACAAAAGGCGAATAACCGAAAGGCTGGCTGTTGCACTTTACTTAAATGAATTACTGAGTTGAAAAGTGTAAATTCAGAATTCAAGTCTGTCAACACTCACCCTGAAGAGGGTTGCCTCCAATGGCTCCATGGCACCATGTCGGAGCCACCATGGAAATCACACTAGACAAGAATGGATCATTATATGATCCGGCAGGAACTGAATCCTGAAACATGCAAACCAGCCTAGATTATTAGATGAATAAAAGAGCCACATGAGGTACTTCTCGCAAACGATGTAGGGCATCCGAAATTGTCAAACGTAGTCATAACCAGATTCCATAGAGTTTTGACCAGCATGTGGAAATCCAAAATAATGTTTCGGCGATTGTTTCCCAAAATAACCCATAGTTCGTCGGCGACAGGGTCTCGGCGAAAATAAGTCAAAAAACATAATACTGTCGGCGATATGGTTTCGGCGAAAATCTGAGGAAGGTTCTGATGCATGCAATACAGATTGTGGCAACCGTGTAGATTCGAAACAACGCAGTGTAACAGCTTGATCAACAGTTGAAACCAAATTTTGCAGGTACACAGAGTTGATCAGACTCTGCTTCCAGCACAAGTGGATAGCTTCGTTGGGTGCAGTCTCCACTGTGCTCTGCACCCCCCTGCAAATTAGTGAAAACCAATCAGAAGTTTTACATCTGTTCAGATGGTACACACACACACACGTATGTATATATATATATATGGCCACATATATAATACATATACATTAAGGATTTTCACAATCCAGTATCTTGGGATGACAGAGGGTTTTGAAGACTGCCCAAGTGAATCATACACGGTCATGAACGCTTGATTGGAATTTCACACTCAACCCCGAAGGTTGAGATATGTTGAAATTAGTGGACTGATCAGGATTACCCTCTGGTAATTTAACATAGCTATTGAAAATGACCATTAATAGTGGATTTTCCCATTAAAAATGGTGATTTTCAATAGCTATGTTAAATTACCAGAGGGTATTCAGGATGAAGGCTCAGTGGATCCAAGGTTCTTTTTCCGGGAGGTTTTTTTTCAGAAGCAGAGTTACATACTTCATATCAAACCCTGGGATTCTTAGTCTAAAGAAAATTGTTTCATTTTCATTTGTATTATCATTATCAATATATATGTATATAATACTTATGTTTGCTTATGTGTTTGTGTATCTATGTCTATGTTATTTTGTGATATATTATACACATATGTGTCTACGTTGTCTAGAATCTATACATTTAAGATCAATTACTAACGATTCGTGGTGTTCAAACCACAACTATGACAGATGGCCAGGACCCTGTCGACGCTGCGGCATCCCGATCTGGTTCTGTTTCTGGGGGCGAGTCTGGATGGAGATACCTCCTTCTTTCTCACAGAGTATATGGAGGCCAGGGAGGGAAGGAGTAAGGGATAGTCAGGGATAGTAAGGGATAGTAAGGGATAGTAAGGGAGAAGAAAATGGACTGAAACTCAAGGTTTCGAAAATGGCTGAGAAGGTTGGAGGAGGCCATTTTGGGATGTGGCCTGAGACTCACCACAGGAATGTGTGATCCTATCAGCGTTGAAGGATGGGTTTAACCCTGTCAGGGTGGAGATGTGGAGAATTACATGAGGAACCAGCGGAAGAAGACTGGAAAGGATGATTTTAAGCCTCCTTTCAATGCTGTTGCCTGAGAAAACTCAGTCGTTGGCATTGCCGCATCTTTGTGGAAATTTGGTCTAGCGACCAAATAGCTGGAATGCAACTTGACACGAAAAAACACTGCAACAGCACTGCAACACTACACTAAGTATGTTAAGTATGCTGAAGACCTTGAAACCTGATGCTGGTGAATTTTTGAAGCCATAGCTCCTGCAATGCCCATGTGCCCCAGCTGAGGTGGGTTTGCAGTGGTGCATCTCCATGGCGCGAGCATTGTCCTTTCTTCATGGCTGTTCAAGTCTGGGTCTTGGAGCGGAAATGGCAGAAATTCGTGGGTCAAGAGTGTAGAGAAATCTCAGATTTCTCAATTAAGACAGTATCTTGGTTTAGTTAGATCAATTTCTTCAAAAACAACGAGTCATCGAGTTGGTTTCTTGATTGATTGTCGATCTTAGGGCCAAGTTTTAGAACCGTTCGAGGATCGCAGTTCATTATTACAATTATAGTAACCACCAATGAAAGTCATGGACTGTCCCTTGGACAATGGCGACTGGATGGAGCCCAGGACCGATCATCCACCGGGATTTCAAGCCTTTAAACCTGCTGCTGACCAAAGATTTGAACTTGAAGGCGCGCTTAAACTCGTTGCCTTCTGGTAAACTGGGATCGGGGCTGGGGGAACGCTCCTTACAACGGCCGCCTGTTGACCCTCTGGGAAACATACAAAAAGCTATTGAACATGGCCCATTTATAGTGGATTTTCCCATTGAAAATGGTGATTTTCCATAGTTATGTAAACGTTTACCAGAGGGTAACTCGTTGGTGGAAGGGCGGCGAATCTTCACGAAAATCCGAAAAGGGGGATGTGTAGTGAATTCATGCAGACTATCAGACGACTGGTGGTAATATGTACTGATAATATGCCGTTATAAAATTGTAAATGTATATTCTATACATATATGTAATATGATGTAATATGACTCCATGACAACATTGTTAGTATTTCTGTTGTTGTCCTCCTCATCACCATTCACCATTCACCATTCACCATTCACCATTCACCATTCACCATTCACCAGCAACACCACCGCCATCATCATCATCATCATCATCATCATCGTCATCCTGCAAAAAATGTCAATGACATTCACTTCTCAGTAATTGCCAATACCAGTATCATCAATAAACATCATTTTTTGATGAATGACTAATTGTAGATTAAAGAAAAGCACATATTTTGATCGTTGACATTTATCTAACCTTCATTATTCAACACAAAGATTTGATCTAATCATGTTGAGAGGGCTGCCATCCTCCCACCGTGACTCCCACCAGGTCACAGACTTCGGGCTCAGCAAGATCATGCGGCCCAGATTGTTGGATCCCAATTTGCCTCTCGGCAGTGTCGCCAGATTGACCAATGGAGGGTAGCTATGGGGATCCTAGGGTAGACTCTATGTTTGAAATTTCTGAGAGCGTACCGGTAGTTTACATTACAGATTTAGATTGATAGAGACATTAATTTGATTTAATTTGTGCACGTGAATATATATATATATATGTGCTGGTTTGTATGAATCTGTATGAATCTGTATGAATGTATTCATGTAGAACGGTATTGTATACTAATAGAAGTATCATGTGGATTGGAACTTCGAAATGCGCTTAGCTGAGCTTGCTAGCGACATTTCAGCCATCTTGAAGGTGATATGTTCGTCGAATGTTGCCAATTTCTGTGATCCTGAATACCCATTTCTCTTTTTTTGCAGATTTGTTAGGACATCCAGGCATAAATAGTTATCCTCCGGTAAACTAACATAGATGTGGAAAATCACCATTTTTGATAGGTAAATCATCGAACTAAATCGGCCATTTTCATCCATTTTCCACGTCTATGTTAGTTTACCCCAAGGTACATAGTTGGCTCCGGCATAATTAATTCAAGCCGGATCTAATACTATCTGTATCTATACTATCTGCACTATATAATACTTTCCCTCCAAGCCGGTCAGCGACACACCCAGGAAGGATTTGACACCAGCGCCAAACATGTCCGGCGGTGCGGGGCCTTGAACTGTTTTCGCGGGATGTTTGAGTTCTTGCCACACACCAGGTATAAGTATAATGCATAAAATTATACGTATGTAACTACATACATACATACACATACATACATATACATACAGATACATACACATACATACATATACATACATATGCATACATACATAACATAACATAGTATTCATTACATTACATTACATTACATTACATTACATACAGACAGACAGACACACAGACTCACAGACAGACAGACAGACACACAGACTCACAGACTCACGGACTCACAAACACACATACACACATACACACACACATACACACATACACACAGACAGACATACAGACATACACACATACATATTTCCAGACATACAGACATACACACATACACACATATTGACATACACACATACAGACATACACACATATTGACATACAGACATACAGACATACACACATACACACGTACACACGTAAACACGTACACACGTACACACGTACACACGTACACACGTACACACGTACACACGTACACACGTACAGGCGTACATACGTACATACGTACATACGTACATACGTACATACCTACATACCTACATACCTACATACGTACATGCATACATACATACATACATACATACATAGACAAGTATAGGTATAGACAAAGTCACCCATAGACTTTCACAAGGCTAAATTGACCTTCTATCCTTCTATACACCATTGTCATGCTGGCTCAGGTGTTGGAACGTACCGATACATGGCTCCTGAAGTTGTCCGGTACGAGCAATATACCGCCCCTGGGCACATCGGGGATGTGGCGACCGATGGGGGGTACCAAAATGTTTGCAAACAAGGCTGATCATTGAATAGGAGCCTGCACCAGTTTGGTCAAGTTTGATTCACTCCAAGAAAACATATATATATATATATATAATATATATATATAATATATATAATATATATATAATATATTATACATAAACACATACACACACCCAGATTATAAATCAAATATATATAATGTAGGCAGAGCAGCAGTTTAGTTTATCGGGATGGCATTTAATTTTTTTGCAGTCAGCCATGAAAGTTTTCTTCGGATCAAAGGAATGCGTGGCGCAGGTTGAGTACAGTAACTATTGACTGTTCTTCTGCTGGAAATTGCCGACTAGACGTTTGCAAAGCTATTGGTGGATGTAAAATACTATTGGTTCCCATAAATTGTCCTTTGAATCAATTCGTTGCACATTGTGACCTCTTGATGGTTCATTGTTACAATTCTTCATTTCCTCACATGCCCCTTGAAGTCCCCAATTTTTGGTGATTCACAACCCCATGTTTACCCTCTGGTAATTTAACGTAGCTATTGAAAATGGCCATTTATAGTGGATTTTCCCATTGAAAATGGTGGTTTTCCATAGTTTTGTTAGTTTACCAGAGGGTAACCCACTGTCAGCAAGGACAAGATTGACGTCTATGCCATGGCGCTGATCATGTACTACATCCTAACAGGTAAACCTGGAGAATTAAACCAAAAATTTGGTGGTGCCGCAGTGGGTAAATGGTGATTGAACCCTCTATAGATGTGGACATTTAGCAGAGAGAAAAATTGGATGGCTGATTTATGTTTACTAAGTTGGTTTACAACTCATACAACTAGGCTTTTGTGGTAGATACATCTATAGTTAACGGGCTTTGTAAACCAACTTACATAACTGGGGGACATCACCCCATGGGTCTGTCCAGCAATGAGGGACCAACAAAAAGCCCTGGACTCCTTGGTGGAACTGGTGAACCATGAGATTTTGGGATAGCGCAAGCCTATTCCGAATAGGGGTATACCATATGGATCCATATCCCATGACGGATCCATGGTGCTGGTATATTAATGCTAACATAAAGGGGGTATGTTGATGGGATCCATGTTACCATATATACCATACATGGATCCTATGGGTATGGGATATGATAATGACATAATGACCAAGCGCCTATTCGTTGAGTCTTCCGTGATCCCCAATTAAAGCCATTTTTAGCTTTCACTCGAAAAAACGATAAGAGGAAAACAACGATAATGTTGGTTATGTGAATGATCTGTGTCCAGACTCTTGAAATCACATTACATGTTCTTGATCTTTCCGTCGTTCTACAGCTATTTCGTGCTTTTGGTATCTTCCTTTCATGTCAGATTCTGCACACGGAAGGTGCCTGGTACAGTAGGTGGTCACTACAGTTTTTTTGATGATTGCAGCCACTTCCAGAAAAAAGGAACATACAGTACACAGGATTCACGAACAATGACACAACAATAACGAAAACAATAACTTTTGGCATCAAAGATGGTCCGTGTGAGAAACTGCCTATTTTTTGCTTCTCCTCTCCCTTTCCTCACCCTTTCCTTTCCTTTTCCTTTCCCTTCCTTTACTCTTCCTTTTCCTTTTTCTTTACTTTTCCTTTCGTGTTCTTTTCCTTTCCTGTTCCTTTCCTTTTCATTTTCTTTTCGTTTCCTTTTCCTTTCCTTTTCGTATTTTGTTCCTTTCCTGTTCCTTTCCTTTTCCTTTCCTTTTCGTGTTCTTTTCCTTTCCTTTCTTGTTCCTTTTTCATTTCCTGTTCCTTTCCTTTTCTTTCTTTTTTCCTTCCCTTCCTGTACTCTTCCTTTTCCTCGCTCATGTGAATTCTTTGATCAAGGTGTGAAGCCAGCGCTTGGGAAAACGATAAGAGGGAAAAACAGATAACGTGTGGAAACACAATTTAAAAGGGCTCGGGTTTTCTATAGAGAGCCCCATATGGAACCAGATGGTCACGATTCATGTTTGTGCGGCCGAGCAGTGATAGTTTTTGGATGTTTTTGGTGAATATCAAACGGGACCATGTCACCACAACCATTTAGGAAATTGAGCTAATGATGCAAAATCAGGGGGGACATCCTCAACATCTCACCAAATGATTACCAAATGTAGAACTGAATGTGTGTCATCAGAGGTTAGGAACCTTGTGTATTTGATCAGGGGCGTTATTGGAGTCATCAAATGCGGCATTGTCTGCGAGACGTGTTACTGCGGAATCCCCTTTTGACGCTTTATTCTGGAGCAAAGAAGTACGGCTGACAAGGAAATCAAGAACAAAAAGACGCTAAAAAAAAAAATATATAAATAATGAAAAAAAACTAAGACTCCATTTGTTTCCAATCATCTTAGATTTTCAAAGTCCAAAACAAGATTGAAACCAACTCCACGAAGGCAAAGATCTCAACGCGGTGGATGGTGACTGGCATACGTAGACCGTAGGGCCCTGGTGGGTTCCAAGATCTTCAGCTGTCCATCCCCATTTCGGAGTATGATCCAATTTTGAGTGTATAATAATGTATGGGATGGGTTGAAACAACATGTATGTTTGAGATTGTTTGAGGATATGTATATACAATTATATAATAACATTACATATAATTGTAATTATATATATACATGAGATACGACAGGTTCGCAGTGGTCAGATTAGCCAACAGGCAGAGTGCCCTTCTACGACCAATGTGCCTGCCTCAGCGATTGTTGTCTAGCTGGTTGCATGGACAAAAGTTGGACTGTAGCGCTATTGGGGGGATGGTGGGTTTTAAAGAAATGAAGGGATTCCCATTATGAAGGAGGACCATAAACATCCATAAACCATATACATCCATGTACCATGTTGTGATCATGGCGCGAAAGTAAGCCGAAAGGGATCATTTTTTGCATTGTAGTTTTTTTTTTTTTTTTTTTTTCGCTACTGGATTGGACGTTACCGTTACAATTCATCATGAGCTAATATAGCTATACTTATAGCTATACTTAGCTACATGTTGATACATGGTGGCATATGGTAGCTGTACATAAACCACTCTTGAAAACAGGGACCGGCTGTTAGGATCCGCTGATCTCTGGACCGATGCTGTGAGGCGGTAGCAAGTTGTCCTTGTTGACCCTTCAACAACAGCCTGTTACGGTATGTTCAAGCCTCATGAGTCATGAGTCAAAGATTGAATCTTTACTCCAACTACAAGTTACATTGCTATACATTGCTCACTTATAGATCTTATAGTATACAATAGCAGCAACTAGCCGTCTTTGATGGTAGCCTTGCAGAGGGTCCCCATCCATCTGCAGGCTAGTACCCCCTCCAATTGCAAAATGCTCCGCCCAAGCTATAAGTTGTTTTAAGACCCCTTTATCTGTCATTAACTATCAACATATCTACCCCAAACCCTGGTTAACGGATATGACCTACATACAGTAGAAAAACGCACATATATATATATATATATAAACCGACTTAGCTAACAGAAATCAGCTATATCAGCTATAAATTCCCATTTTTGTTGCAGTCACCCCCCATTTCTTCTTGGATAAATCCACTGCACCGATCGGCGATCTTTGCCGAGTTGGCGCGGAGCCAGAAAGGATCCTCCAGGCTGAGGGTTATTTGCTCGGGGAAATGGCACATCTTGTTACATATTGTGGTACTGGTTATGTCTATGAAGTTTGGTTATCTGGTTAGACAGGTTGCTCAATGGTTATCTAGTTTGTTATTCTGCTTATTTGGTTATCATCGTCTCAACCGTTTTTCACCCATACTATATTTGGGAAAACTATTTGAGACGACTCATATTTTTTGGGATGATGATTCCCTCTGCAGTGCCGGACCATCCCCATCTATAGATGTGGTTGACCAAGATAAGTAGAACATACAGTATCGTATAAGTGACTGGATATATGGATAAGACTATGTGGATCATATTCTCAACTAAATTTGAGGTGAACCCAATTTAAATCACACATTTTTAGTTTGGGAATATCGGTTCGTCGGGATGATGTATAATGACCAGCGTTTCTGGTTTCCGGGATGATTTTCGGGTTTAACACATCAGGAGGAAGAGCTCTTGTTAGTAGCAAATTCCCTGAAGTGTACCAGTGTACCATGGATGTAATTTATCATGAATGGAGTTATTGTACTTCATTTATCTTCATTTGGGACCTCATCCCAAATGAGTGTCTGATTTCGGAACCCAAACTTTGGATAAAACTTGGTTGCCATCACCTGGTATCACCTTGGAGTCCGAGATCTGGGTGGAGCGTGGTTGATCCCCAGTTCAGAGTATACAAAAAAATCATGTTGATGAATGTTTGCAGAACACATCAACCATAGCCGTAGCTGACTATGATGTGAATTCCTACATATTTTTTTTTGGACATGAGTTTACAGCTGATGTTCATCTATGTTATATAATCATATTTAATCCCCCAATTTTAGAGATCACCTGGACTGACCAAAAAGGCTTACATTCGCAAAGAAGAGCCACGACCGACTTTAAACTCGTCCATGGCCACCGCAGAGTGGGGGCACTCAGCGGGCAAATCTTGGTTTCTTGGGAAGCTTGATGTTTGTTTCCACGCCTCACAAATTATTTGAGGTGTCAGTGATGCGTTTATGTATATACATTATATATACTGTATATATATATAGATAGATTCTCAGCCAAACATGCTATTTTGTTGCAGCGTATCCAAACCTAGCCATGAATATTGGCAAGATTGTAACAGGAAGATCTTTAGACCCACTAGCCACTAGCAGCTGTCACTAGCAACAGCCTCCAGAAACTATGTTTATGCGGGTCCAACAATAAAGAGCCCCAAATCTAGCGACTCTGAAAATCATGTTTTCCATATATGTATTGAATTGCCATAGATACGGGTATGCCGCACTTCTGGGAAAACTCATCACCAAGCTGAACCCTGAAGATGTATATACCACCCAGCTACATCCAGCTACAAATTGGTAGGCATTGTTGGCCATTTGTGGTAGGGTATCCTGTAAACTAGTCTGGTTGGTGGTTTGGAACATTTGGATTATGTTCCATTTTATATATGGGATGTCATCCTTCCCATTGACTTTCACTCCATCATTTTTCAAGATGGTTAAGTCACCACCAACCAGCAATGGTCAATGATAGTTAATGATAGTTAATGATGGTTAATGATGGTTTACAGCTTTCTCAATGATGGTTAATATACTGTAGAGACACTGTAGATGTGGGGCCAGCCACCATTTGCAGATCATTTTGCAGAAACCGGCAGGGTTTTCAGCCGAGGCTGCGGCAGCTGATGTCTGACGTAGCTTATCCCGATGGGGGATGGGTGATGCCTTAGATCTCTGCTTTTATTCATGGTGGATAGAGCGAGAAAAGCAGATGATTGGATATCAACATGCTGGGATCATGATTAATTATTTACCAATGTCTCCAATATCTCCAGGATTCTTGGCAAATAATCCGATCATCAATTTGATATACAAGGTGAGACCCCCAAACCAGAGCAAAAAAGACATCACAGGTTTGATGAAAGATGAGCCTTCATGATGACCGAGTTGCACTTGTCAGAAATGATTGCCTGGTGTTGAGATATCTTATTCGTTTCTTTTGTTTTATAATGGGTGTGCCCAAGAATGGGGTACAGCTCCAAATGGCCAATTTCATGGGAAGATGATGATGAAGAACTGATAAACAATACAATTTTGAGGTACTCAATTTTCACAGTTTTGTGGATTGGTCAATAACAACTGGTTGTTTTGGTACGAGGCTCTGGCCAATAAACAAAATAAACATACAGTATAGATACAGTATATTCATATACAAACTTCTCATGTTAAACAGATATCATTCAAATTATAAATATATATATATATATATACTATATATGATCAAATATTTATACTCTCCAATAGTCAGTCGTGGCCAGTTGGAAAATCCACCATTTATAGATGAATTTCCCATTTATAGCCCAGTATTATGCCATTATTAATGGATCGCTATTGAAAATTGCCATAGAAATAGTTGCTTTACCCAGCTATAAAATGGTGATGTTCCATTGTTATGGGACAGTTTACCAGAGGGTAAATATGATTATCCCATATTATCAACATTTATAATACTGGTAAATGGCTATATCATTATTAATGGCGCAACATTTATTTCGTTTTATCCCATTATTAATGGCTATTTATAGCTGGGAAACTCATGGAAGATCCCCATGGAGTTTCGCTCTTTTTTTCGAGGCGTGGGCGATTCAGGCAACAGACAGGTGCGACGCGCTCTGGTTGATGGGGTACCCTCTGGTTATGTCAAAATAGCGAACTGGAAAATCCACCCATTTTTCATGGGAAAATCCACTATTTCAATGGCCATTTTCAATAGCTATGTTAGTTTACCAGAGGGTATTTCATACCAGTTTTTGTGATTTTCATAGGGAACATATGATGATTAACCAGCAGATTTAGGGGTACCCAACTTTCCGGCAAACCCAAACACTGGTGCACATAACGAAGATAGGTATGCTTTTCACATTTTGTCTGGAAGTAGGGGCCAGGGAAGATCAGTATTCCTCATTCACGGCTTAAATTGGCAAAGGGTCAACTGCTAGTGAGGGGTAGCCATTGAAAGTTGGCGGGGTCCCAGAAGGTATCCAGTTGAAAAAAGCTCAGTTTAAGTAGTTTTGTCATCCTGTTGGGCCACTTGGAACTCGTATCTGGCCATGTATGGTCAAGGATTAGACCTCAGTGTATTGGGACCGAAGCAAACCAACAGGTCCTTTGGCACCATTCTCATGAGTCGCATACATACCAAATGAATTACCAGCAGTAGCATGATGTCCATCCCCAACCAACTACATATATACTCAGCTCATCCCCGATGAATATATATATATATATACATGTATATACAAGCATATGTATATATATATATATAATGTAAAAAAATATATGTATATATATATATACATGGGTGTGTATGTATTTATACATAATATATATATATATATACATACATATATGGATATGTATACATTATGTATATGTGTATGTATCCGCCCCCCCTTTGGATGTGGTGCGGGGGTGGAAGGTGGGGATTGGGGGGGCCGTGCACACGAGACACTGGATCATATATATATATGTCAATGTATATGTACTATGTACTATGTACTATGTACTATGTACTATGTACTATGTACTATGTACTATGTACTATGTACTATGTACTATGTACTATGTTATAATGATCTTTATGTACATACATCCACATCTATACTTTTACACATCTTGAGATAGAAGTGATTTTGAGATCCAGTGCGTCAAGCTAGGCCTTCAGCGCAAGAGTGTGTGGAGCGATTGTCCATGATCCCAACGCCCAGACATAAGTTGCACCTTGGCGATGGAGCTGCAGTATGCTCAGATATTGTGCCAGCGCAAACTCACGTAAGATAAATCTATATATATATATATGTGTATACTGTATATGATTGATACATAGAGCTATACATGTATTTACACCAACATGTCATGCTATGTAGCCATGCATACTGTCATGTAAGTGTCATATTATATATATATGTATATATATATATGTATATATGGCTATATATGTGTATAGAATGTCTGGCAATCAAACATGGCTTGCCGGAAAATCCCAAATTGAAGTCAATGATTTTCCTCGCTATGAACCTCTATTTAGTTCGGAGATTTCCTAGCCTCCGATGTGTGAGGACGCCTTTGTGGCCTTGGTGTCTAATAAGGTGTCCCAATAGAGAATACCTACTGAATGGCTGTCAAATGGTCAGGAATTGGGGGGTAAAGCATGTGAAGATACATATATATATATTATTATTATTATAATATATATATATATACATATCTAATTATTATAATACAGACTCAACTACATATGTCTACAATATATGATTTACAGATTGTATGCATATGTATCTTGTATCTATGTACATATATATATATAAGGGAAACCCAACAATAAACCATGCCCAAAGTCACATTTTTTCATTGTATAAGCCATCCTTAAATGGCTTGCTGAGGTTTGGCATCTTCTGAGAGCGCAAACGCCACGGAGGCAACCTGATCGTGTGAACACAGGATATGAAAAATGATGGTTTTGCATTATGAGATGTAAGCGTTCAATATACAGAGATACTACATATGTTTGTGTATCTAACGTGTGTATATATATATATACATACATACATACATACATATATATACATCGAAAATACACATATATATATATATAACATACAGACATGTATGTATGTACGTATATATCTATACGTATAATGTCAACCCTGGATTAATAAACCATTGTTTATTAAGTTTATTAATTGTGGGGGTACCCTCCAAATAGTCACAATATGATACATAAATGGTATCCCCCCCAATTAAACAGCCTAAGGGTTTACTAATCCAGGGTTGACATTATACATATATATATACATACACATAACAAGTATCTATCCAATCTATCTAATCTATCTAATCTATCTAATCTATCAAATCTATCAAATCTATCAGATTTATGTATCTATCCATCTTGTCTCATCTTATCTATCTAATCTATCGAATCTATCGAATCTATCTAGTCAATCTATCTAGTCAATCTATCTAATCTATCTAATCTATCTAATCTATCTAATCTATCTAATCTATCTAATCTATCTAATCTATCTAATCTATCTAATCTATCTAATCTATCTAGTCTATCTAATCTATCTAATCTATCTAATCTATCTAATCTATCTAATCTATCTAATCTACCAAACTATCTATCTTATCTTATCTTATCTTATCTAATCTTATCTAATCTGATCTTATCTGATATTATTTTATCCTATCTATCTATCTTTCTATATAGTTATATTATCTTGTCTGATCTTGTCTTATCTTATCTATCTTATCTTATCTTATCTGATCTTATCGTATCTTATCCATCTTATCTTATCTATCTTATCTTGTTTTATCTTATCTTATCTTGTTTTATCTTATCTTATCTTATCTATCTTATCTTATCTTATCTATCTTATCTTATCTTATCTTATCTTATCTTATCTTATCTATCTATCTATCTATCTTATCTATATCTATCTATCTTTCTTATCTATATCTATCTATCTTTCTTATCTATATCTATCTATCTTTCTTATCTATATCTATCTATCTATCTATCTACCTACCTACCTATCTATCTATCTATCTGTCTATCTATCTATCTATCTATCTATCTATCTATCTATACATTTCATGAATGCACATCTCTATCTATTTCCATGTCCATCGTTATTGAATTCCATCTGTATGAATGTGTCTGGATAATGCTCCTATTGCAGATAGAGATAGACAACGGCATTGGTGTCATGACTACGGAATGTATGTAAAAGCATGCATACAGAAAGACTATGGCATGATAAAAAAATAGATAGAATTAGATAGACATAGTTTTGTACATAGATAGATAAAAATCAACAAAAAGTAACTGTAAATAGATAGGTGATAGATATATAGGTAGATAAATATATCGATACTGTCGATCGCGGTGTCAAGGGGTCGATCGATATACAGACAGGAACAACATCGATACATGGACATAATATATAATATGTATATATATATATGTATATATGTACATGTATATTTCTCTGGATATCTGTCTCCGTGTACATATACTCAGGTTCATACATATATAATATATATATATATATTTCACAGTATATATTTATACCAGAAGTACCGCACAAGGCGGTGGCGGAAGTTTCAGAATAGGAAACCTATAGGAGACGTTGGTTGTTGTGAATCACGGATGGCAGAGCGAACCCACTGATTGACCGAAAGGTGGTTGGAGTTGTGTTTGCTGGAGTGGTTGCAATGGTTGCAGTGGTCACCTCACCCACAACTGCTGGATGTAGTGTGATGTACTGCAACTGTAGTTGTAGTTGTAGCGTAGTGGAGTTGTAGTTGTGCTGTAATGTAATTAGTGTAGTGTAGTTGCAGTCATATAGTTGTAGATGTAGTTGTTTTGTAGTTGTAGTTGTAGTTGTTGTAGTTGTAGTTGTTGTTGTAGTTGTAGCTGTAGTTGTTGTGTGGTTGTAGTTGTTGTGTAGTGTTGTAGTAGTAGTAGTAGTAGTAGTAGTAGTAGTAGTAGTAGTAGTAGTAGTAGTAGTGGTTGTTGTTGTAGTTGTTGTAGTTGTTGTAGTTGTTGTTGTTGTTGCTGCAGTAGTAGTAGTAGTAGTAGTAGTAGTAGTAGTAGTAGTTGTTGTTGTTGTTGTTGTAGCTGTACTTGTCGTTGTAGTTGTAGTTCTAGTTGTAGTTGTTGTGTAGTTGTAGTTGTAGTTGTAGTTGTAGTTGTTGCTGTTGTTGTTGTTGTTGCTGTTGTTGTTGTTGTAGTAGTTGTTGTAGTTGTAGTTCTAGTTGTAGTTGTCGTGTAGTTGTTGTAGTTGTTGTAGTTGTAGTTGTTGTAGTTGTTGTGGTTGGTGTTGTTGTTGTTGTTGTGGTTGTGGTTGTGGTTGTTGTTGTTGTTGTGGTTGTGGTTGTTGTTGTTGTTGTTGTTGCTGTTGCTGTTGCTGTTGCTGTTGTCGTCGAAGTTAGGGTAGTTAAGTTAGTGAAGTTAGTCAAGTTAGTTAAGTTAATCAATGTCTACTTTTTCGACATCTTCACGTCAAAAAAGGCTCAAAACCCTCAGTTTTTTACACTTTTGACTTCGAAATGTGCTTCGCGCCACAACGGCGTGCACTTTTTCGACATCGCAACTTCCAAAAGTGGTCCGAACCCCTAGTGTTTTGTACATTTTGACTTGGAAATGTGCTTCGCGCCACAACGGCGTGCACTTTTTCGACATCGCAACTTCCAAAAGTGGTCCGGAGCTGAGGTGTTTTGCGCATTTTGACTTGGAAATGTGCTTCGCGCCACAACGGCGTGCACTTTTTCGACATCGCAACTTCCAAAAGTCGTCCGACGCTGAGGTGTTTTGCGCCTTTTGACTTGGAAATGTGCTTCGCGCCACAACGGCGTGCAATTTTTCATCGCTCCTGTGACCAGCTGGCTCCGCACCCGCCGCTTTAGCGAGCCTACTTTTCGACCCTCCTGAGCCACAAATCATTGGAAAAACACAGTGTTTCGCGACTTTCCTACCTTTTCGCGCATCTGTATCTTCTTTCTTCTGACTCTTTCTCTTCTCATCTTCTCATCTTCTCTCTTCTAATCTTCCTCTTCTCTCTGCCTCTCCCCTACTCTGCTTTTCATCTGTCCATATTGTCGGAAGTTTGACTTCTAAACTTCCTTCGATAATATATAATTATAATATTATACATATATATATATACATACATGTGTATGAATATGTAATATATACATAGATTATAATAGATAGCCAAATCCGATTCATAGATTGATAGAGAGAAAGGTAGATAGGCAGGCAATTAGGTAGATAGCTAGACTGGGTGGATTCTTGCATGTACAGATTGAAAGGTAGATGTAGATGTAGATGTAGGTGTAGATGTAGATGCAGTGTGAGTGTATGCACATAAGCTGAATATCCACCGATCAAGAGTTCTACATTCTACATGCGCAACTCTGGGACAGTGGATCTGAACAAACACATTTGAAGGAATTTGCAGGGACGTTTTCAGCCAATGGGCTGAAGAACGAAAATCAGGTTGCTCCCAACTTGTGCCACAAACTTTTATATTTGGCAAGACGCTACCATGGGTCCCAAAAACTTTGCCCTAGAGTCGCACAGTGTTTCCATTAAGAAACTTCAATTAAACTGCTGAGGGGCACAGAACCTTTCGATTTTGGGACTTCATTCACTTTTTGCGCTTGAATTAACCACCTTTCGTGTTGCTTCGTCCGAACGTTGTTGGACTTCCGGGCTGTGCCGCGCACGCCAAGCCAGAGTACCACTTTCAGCTACGGTGCTTCTGGCAGTTGGGCAGCAAGGCGTCCACCTTGCTTTTTCAGCAATGGAGATACCTGACCTGCAGTCTGGTCAGCACCCACAATCATGGGGCCAGTTAGACTTCTTTGATCCTTGATTCTATGACTGTTCGGCTTTATTCCAAAGAATCCAGATGGCAGGTCAGATCTGTTCTTCGTTGCGGCCATTTGCTAACGAACCCCTCGGCCGAACATGTTCAGTTTCTGGTCGGTGCTGCTTGTGACGTCTGCTCGCAACGGGCCGTGCCAGAGTCGTGATTTGCGGAGTGCTGGAGGTGCTCCCCGTGCGAATCCATCGACCGAAAATCAACCCTTAATTCAGAGCGATGCATTTCCGTGACACCGAAATGATGGAGAAATTGTTGCTTCCAGTGCTGCGTATCTTGGTCTGATCGTTTGATCCATTCAGGTCTCCTAATTATTTTCCCATTGAATGATTTGAATGCCATTAGAATCCCATAAAAGTCCAGTAGAATCCCATTCTTATCCGATGGATTTATCCCATCTGCTATATTTTGCTGGACCTCAGTGACCTCCATCAGTTTGCGTGTCCTTTTGACACGTCTGGTTGGTGCGTCCTGATCGACGCCGGGTCCAAGACCCCGATACCCCGATCAGTTCCGCAGCCTTCCTGCGGGCCATGGCCCAGCCCATCCTCAGGGAACCACCTGGAATTTCAGCCGGGTCAGAGGAGGGATGCTGTGTCTGATGTATTTTGCTAAGTTGGTTGAAATAACTATAGGTAAAAAATATGGCTTATGGAAGCTGAGAAGGTAGATAGATCATGATAGATCTATAGTTCATGGGGGTTTGAAACCAACTTATATAACTGATGGGGCACCACATTGTACTGTATCGGGAATATTGTGCTATATTAATATACTTGGATGTGCTGTTCATTTAATAAACAAACATGATAATCATGGTTATAGCCAGTGATCGAAGGGGAAAAAAGTGTCATATAAGTCATGTAAGACTTACAACCACCGTGGCATGTGCCAGTAGGAAGACCTTTACTCCCTCGACGGCCTACAAGGACTCCCCTAGAAATCAAGATTTGCTGTCCTAAATCTGCTGTTTTATATCTCTGAGGTCTCTAAGACTCTACCAGCTACTTCCAGGGATTTTATATAACTAAAAGTGCAGCAGAAAATATAGACACATATATGATATGGGGATGGATCAAACCCTATAGGATACCATATTTGGGAGATAAACATCCATTAAGTATCATTAAGTAGCTATTTTAGGGTTCACCAGGGTACTAGGGTTTTGAACCATACCCATATTAATTACAGTAGACTCCCTTAGACCAATGGAACCGGGCTAACGGAGATTTTCCATCTTGGAATATCCTTGGAGCATATTTGTTTCCAAAAACTTTCGGATCGTTTCAAACATGGGTTTACCCTCTGGTAAACTAACATAACTATGGAAAATCACCATTTTTAATGGGAAAATCCACTATAACTGGCCATTTTCAATAGCTATGTTAAATTACCAGAGGGTAACACGATTTCGGGGAATCCCTATGGTCTGGTCATGGCAATGTTTTTTTCTCGGGAACATGCTTCTGAAAATGATGAACTGTCAGAGTTGGGAGTAACCTCTTATCATATTCCCTTTTTTGTCACCCCAAAGTGATGATCATAGGTCACTTTCCCCATTTCCCCATCTGTTTGAAATGACTCGGCCACCACTCGCAGCATTTCGACTCGACAAAAATTGCTGGGGTAGTGCTGAGGCCACACACAGAAGTGGCCCCCCTGCCTGCACTATGTGTCCATTGACATTCAGAGAAGAAAACTAAGTATGCCTGCCACAATGTACATATGTATATTATAGTTACTGTACAATATACATATCATATATATATATATATTATATTATATGTATACATGTATATAATATTATATATATTATGTATATAATATATAAAGGAGATATATATATATATATATATGTAATGTAATGTAATGTAATGTAATGCAATGCAATGCAATGCAATGCAATGCAATGCAATGGAATGTAATGTAATGTATGTATGTATATATATATATGTAACGACATTTAAATATGTGGAGGGCAGGCCAGACCGCAAGGCCCCGGAGGTAGTATGATATACCAGTTCGTATATTTAAATGTAGTTGCAGTATGTTTAAATGAATTGGATTCCGTATGTTTAAATGGCTGGGCGGGCCAAGGAAAACCTTCCCGGAGGTAGTCTAAAATACCTGTTCGTATATTTAAAAATCCGTATATTTAAATGTAGTTACCGTATGTATATATATATATATATATTACATTGAACTGTCTAAACTGGCTGGTGAAGGACAGCTTAATAGGCTTCAGCCAAAATGGGTGGTACATATTTCCCTGGCAGCGATGCCATCATGATCGCCATGGAGCTCCCCAAAAATGCATGACTATCATGACTTAGGAAACCTCCAAATGAAGATCGATCAGCTGAGAAACCTCTAAACGAAGATAGATATGGATAGAATTAGATAGATCCATTCAACTGAAAATGAAGATAGATGAGCTGAAGAGTGCTTTGGCCTTTTCCGTCACATGGTGCAGCGTGTAATTTGAAGCACACGCAGTGTATGGACGACCACAGTCTCTTGCCCCGCTGTCTGAGGAGGCCCAAGGAGGCAATGTCTACAAACCTGCAACATCGGTTGATGAACAGCCCTACAAAATTGCTACTTTTTTTGGGGGGAACATACTGCATCTGATACACCGGACACCAATGGAGCTACAAAATTGGGCAATTTTTGGGTATTGGCCATCCATTTTGGGGGACTTTTGGGGTAGATCATTCTGAATCATCCCCAAATGGTGGGTTTTACAGCAAACAAAAATGTTGGAGAATTGGAAGATGATGAGGAATTAAGCCATGAATGTGTGGGGAAGATTACGTTGTATCCAGCCATTGTAATGGGGCAATTTTGAGAATGAGTTATGCAGCCATCAATTCTAGGGGCATGGGAGATTCTGGGGTATATAATCAAAAATGGCTGGTAGAAACTGATGATTTGTAGGAAGATAATTTGCCAAGATGGATATCTCACTCCGCAATTTCTTTCAATGGAAACATCACTACTTTGTGATTTGTTTGGAATTCTTGGGATAAGAATTGATACCAGATGATCTCCATCCACTAGTTACTGTATCCTGCAAGGATCGCTCAGCCATGCTCAGCCCATCCCTGAGATCTTCATGCGTGTTGGGTAAAAAAAGGGTCAGCATCCAACCTAGCGGCCCTAGCGTGAAAGGGTGCAATCAGGAACCAGCTCTTCCCCTGGAAAACCAGCTGGTATATCCACAAACAAAACCATCAACTGCAGAGGACTTTTGTTGGTGAATCCTCAGGACAATGGAAGGATGCCGCGCTGACGCACGTAGCGATGCTGTCATAGACGCACGTCTCAACGCCTGTACAGTATCGTGTTGACGTATTTTCCGAATAGTGAATAGTGGTGAATATTGGTGCTAGATCCTTGTTCATCACGAGGGAGCAACTGCTGCTCTATCAGTTCTAACTTGGTGCAAGCTTTTCGACAGTGTATTGTATATACTGTATATACACATAGTGTATATATATATATATTACATATACACATAGTGCATATATATATATATATATATATATGTTGTGAATGTACTGGGAAAACCCTGTTTTCAAAATGGTCAACCCTGTTGAACCTACCACAACTGTGTCCCCAACACAAACCCAATGCTCGTAGCTTTTCCTTAACTCAAGTAGCCGCTCCCACCCACCACCTTAGTGGGTTCGATCAGATGGCCACAGAAAGGATGGCGATCGGAAGGCGCAGTGGTGATCTGCCAAAATCAAGGATATGACATGGACATGGACATGATGGGAAATTCCTGGTGCATTAACACTGGTCAAAATCCATTTTTTTAAAGGTTTTGTAGCCTTGTCCATGTCCACTTTAGGTCCTTCTTCTCTCAACCACTGAAGCCGCTCACGCTTTGAAGCGCGTTGTTTCAGACTCTCTTGTTCATCAAAAAGAGAATATCTACCTGTACGCAAGCATTCCCGCAACATGCTTGAATCCATACTCTTTGTCAGTGAGTCTGCCAACATCGCCTGCGTGCTGATCCATCGCATTTGAACATTTTCTTGCAATCTTTCCCGAATTAAAAGACATTCTAGGGTCGTCCTGTACTCATTACAGCTTGGGAAGGCTGTGCGAGTGACAACATCGTAAACGCTTTTGCAATCTGTCACTGCGCTAGCAGAGGGTGATTCACACAAAATCTTCATGGTGTTGGTCCAATCAACCCCAGGATTTTTCAGCCATTCCCAAACCACACGGACATATCCTAACCTGTCTAAAGATGAACTCAGTGCAATTGACTCTGCACTAAGAGTCGAAGTGACGACCCGTGGGATCTTTTTGGAGCTCCATGCCATGGGACAGACGACTGTCCTTTCATTTCGAGAAAGCTTCACATCCGTGGCGAATATTAATGTCCCCTGCCTAGATGACATCTCACGTGATGTCGAAAAGGAGGCATCTGAAAACACACAAAAGGCCACCTGATGCTCAGGAATAGGAACAATCATCAAGCACACTGGATGCTTCTTTCCTTCGAACAGAACCCGATTTGCTTCCAGCAAATGTTTCACCTTGGCTCTTGTGACCATGGATTGCAGCTGACCTGTTTTTGCACAAAGATCAGGTCTTGTGTGCACTGCGGCATACTGCAGGCTGCCACATAACCTGCGCAGTTCTTGACGCTCTACTTCAGTTACTTCTGCTTCAGGGTCACTTCTTCGTGATCGGGGTACTTCTATGGGGGAAATCTTTTGAACATAACCCACTTGATCCATCTCAATTGAACCATCATCCCACTGTTTATAGTGAACCCCACAGAAGTCAAATTCCCTTTCATAGTATGCCCCAAAGTCATAGATTTTCCGGAGCCTTTCGATGGTCTGCTTAAAGTAATCATCTCCAGCACCAATCCCATCATCAACATGAATACCCAGAACCCCTCTGACAACGGGTTTCCCCTTAGGATTTTTGGGGTCATGAGTTATCAAGCTGAAGAGACAACCATCAAAAGGACATGCAACAAACCCCAGAGATTCAAGTGAAGCCCGTAGAGCCTTGTACCAAAGAAATGGAGCATCGACTCTACCATAAGCTCCCCCTTCCAAGGAACACTGGTCACCCTCTCTCATGTGAAGGGCTCGCTTTATCTCTGGAGGTGCATGTATGCCCAGAGGACGCCCATCACCTTCCCCTTTCAGGAAGGCTGTGGAGATATCGAAATTCATCAAACACCATCGCCGCGATGCTGCTTGCTGAAGCAACAATTGCCTTCCATCCTTGGAAAGTGTTGGGGCATCACTTGGTATAATCCCTACACCTGGGTCCTCAAAACCTAGGATTACCAACCTGGCCTTTGCCCTCTTTTCGGATGTACCTGGCAATGGATCCTTCCACGTCAGCAGCCATCTACACCGCATTATTTGTTCCGGTTTCAGGGAGCCCTTTGCTAGCTTCTTTACAGTCCCATGTGCCAACCAAGCGTTGACTTCCTTTTGTTTGGCAGCATCAAACAAACCCTGCTCATGACGACTCATATCCCGATAGCTCAGCTCAACCCTCTTCTTACGATCATTTGATACAACCAGGGTATCTTCAAAAACCATTGGTTCACAACATAGGACTTCCGCAGTTTCTTTTTCGAGCTCATAGTCCAGCAGTGACAATTCCCAAATCCCAAAACGTTCAGAAACAAACAAACAATCATCCCCAAATAAACCATCATCAGAATCCTCAGGAATGGGAACATACCTACCATCTTGAGGGACTTCATCACCACCATCACTGCTCTTTTCTGTTGGCTCGAGCGGAAACTGCTCCCCTTCCGGTTGGCTTTGCAATGGTGTTGTGGGTGCGTAAGAAAACTCTGACAGTGGGGGATCATGGTTATTTTCAATTGCCGGAATTTCTTCATCATCAGCTTCCCCGGGATCATTTCCAGAGTTCCCCAAATCAATATACCCCCGACCCTGTGGTTTCTCATCCAACACAAGACCTTGGGTATCACGAGGCAGCTTTGCATATTCCCGAAGGGATGCTGGTCGAATTTGTTCCGGACTCGCACGGATGATTCTACCCAGGTGACTAAGCCAGAGGACTTTTGGATCCTGACACGCAATCACTTGAGCTGGCCCATACCAGCGACCTACTTCACTACGACTCCTACCACGAGCTCTCCTCCAATAGAGGACCCAGTCACCTGCCTCATATTCAAGTTTCCCAGGCCGACTCTGCCTCAGAAGTGCCCTCCTGAAGGAGGAGTCGTTGTCTGCCTGTACAACGCTTTTCGGGCAAGCTCCCGTCTCAGAAGGCTTTCTTTAAATCGGACCCCCTCCGGAGTGGAACTTTCTGCCAAGCTATGGCTGGTCGCTGCATCGTCTGACACCAAGGATCCAGGCAAATGTCGGGATTTCCCTAGGAGACATTGCTCCGGAGTGAAGCCCGACTCAATGAATTTTTGGCTGCAAAAGCCTGGCGAAGGCACTGTGAAAATTCCCCAACAGTTTCAATCACACGGTCCTTTTCCATCCTCGAAAGAATATCCTTGACAATCTTCCCATGGACCTCGGCCCTACCATTCTGCCAATGTGCCTCAGCAGCTGTCATGGATACTTTGATCCCTTCGCCCTGCAAAACTGCTGCCCATGTGTCATTGACATATTCACCGGCCGGATCTAGATACAAGGTACGGCATGGCCCTGCCCACTGAACCCAAGTATTGAGAAAAGTTTGAACCTGATCCTCTACCTTGCGTGCACTCAGAGCCCCAACATGGTACAATGTGGCTTCATCAATGAAATGCATAAAGTGAAAAGTCTTTCCATTTTTGTTGGTCCAGTAGGCTCCATCGGCACCGACAACATCATTAAAATCAAGTGCCTCATGTATCCTACTTGGCTGTGATCGTTTCCGACGATCTTGAGATTCAACACATGTGTCGCAGACCATGTCACGAGCTGCTTCGATGACCTCAGCCTGTGCACCTCTTTCAGTTAGAAATTTTACCATCTTTTCGGGGTCAGGATGTCCAAGATTGTTGTGAAGCTTTCTCAATTCCCCTTTCTGAACCCCAGTCAAACCCCGATAGGCTGGACCAGATTTAGGGGTGATCTTGGGGGCCCATCCTTCTTCCATTTGTTCTAACTCAGGTGCATCTTCCATTTGGAGGTCACTTCCACTATTAGGAACGCCCGATGCCGGTTCACCAGATGGTGCAGCTTCCACACCCGGATGCTGTAATACACCATATGTGCCACTTCCAGCAGCACAGGAGTTTTCACCGGGCTTAACACTGCGAAAAACTGCCCCTTGTGGATTGTCAATTTCATCACGAGTCCCAAACACAGTAATGTTGGTTCCTGATTAGTGTGTGCCCCCCCCCCTCCCCTAAACTATTTCTGGACTCTCTTTAAAGTAGAAAAGCAAAAAAAATCTTCCCAAAAGAAAAACATATCCTCGATTAAGTAAGGATTTCAATTGGCTACAATTGAAATCTAATTACTATTGTTTTTTTGCCGATGAAGTTGTGGTACTTGTAGTACTTGTAGTACTTGTAGTACTTGTAGTACTTGTAGTACATGTAGTACTTGTAGTACTTGTAGTACTTGCAGTACTTGTAGTACTTGTAGTACTTGTAGTACTTGTAGTACATGTAGTACTTGTAGTACTTGTAGTACTTGTAGTACTTGTAGTACTGTAGTACTTGTAGTACTTGTAGTACTTGTAGTACTTGTAGTACTTGTAGTACTTGTAGTACTTGTAGTACTTGTAGTACTTGTAGTACTTGTAGTAATTGTAGTACTTGTAGTACTTGTAGTACTTGTAGTACTTGTAGTACTTGTAGTACTTGTAGTACTTGTAGTACTTGTAGTACTTGTAGTACGTGTAGTACTTGTAGTACTTGTAGTACTTGTAGTACTTGTAGTACTTGTAGTACTTGTAGTACTTGTAGTACTTGTAGTACTTGTAGTACTTGCAGTACTTGCAGTACTTGTAGTACTTGTAGTACTTGTGGAAAAGCTGTTCTTTAATAAGGGTTTAATATCCTTTGGGAAAGGCTTGGAGTTTGAATTTGGCAATTTTGGAACAGGCTTGCTTCCCTTCTGGGCTTCCAGGGGCTGCTCTGGCACAGCTTGCTGCAATAGTGACCCCAGCAAACAAACCTACTAAAGTGAAATGGAGCCTCTCCTGGTCCAGGGCCTTGGAAAATTGTGGAAAAGCTGTTCTTTAATAAGGGTTTAATAAGGGATTGGTTCTTTTGGGAAAGGCTTGGGGTTTGAATTTGGCAATTTTGGAAAAGGCTTGCTTCCCTTCTGGGCTTCCAGGGGCTGCTCTGGCACAGCTTGCTGCAATAGTGAACCCAGCAAACAAACCTACTAAAGTGAAATGGAGCCTCTCCTGGTCCAGGGCCTTGGAAAATTGTGGAAAAGCTGTTCTTTAATAAGGGTTTAATAAGGGATTGGTTCTTTTGGGAAAGGCTTGGGTTTGAATTTGGCAATTTTGGAAATGGCTTGCTTCCCTTCTGCAGGGGCTGCTCTGGCACAGCTTGCTGCAATAGTGAACCCAGCAAACAAACCTACTAAAGTGAAATGGAGCCTCTCCTGGTCCAGGGCCTTGGAAAATTGTGGAAAAGCTGTTCTTTAATAAGGGTTTAATAAGGGATTGGCTCCTTTGGGAAAGGCTTGGAGTTTGAATTTGGCAATTGCTTTTGGAAAAGGCTTGCTTCTCTTTTGGGCTTCCAGGAGCTGCTCTGGCACAGCTTGCTACAATAGTGAACCCAGCAAACAAACCTACTAAAGTGAAATGGAGCCTCTCCGGGTCCAGGGCCTTGGAAAATTATGAAAAAGCTGTTCTTTGATAAGGGTTTAACAAGGGATTTGCTCCTTTGGGAAAGGCTTGGAGTTCGAATTTGGCAATTGCTTTTGGAAAAGGCTTGCTTCTCTTTTGGGCTTCCAGGAGCTGCTCTGGCACAGCTTGCCACAATAGTGAACCCAGCAAACAAACCTACTAAAGTGAAATGGAGCCTCTCCGGGTCCAGGGCCTTGAAAAATTGTGGAAAAGTTGTTCTTCAATAAGGGTTTAATAAGGGATTGGCCCCTTTGGGAAAGGCTTGGGGTTTGAATTTGGCAATTGCTTTTGGAAAAGGCTTGCTTCTCTTCTGGGCTTCCAGGGGCTGCTCTGGCACAGCTTGCTGCAATAGTGAACCCAGCAAACAAACCTACTAAAGTGAAATGGAGCCTCTCCTGGTCCAGGGCCTTGGAAAATTGTGGAAAAGCTGTTCTTTAATAAGGGTTTAATAAGGGATTGGTTCTTTTGGGAAAGGCTTGGGGTTTGAATTTGGCAATTTTGGCAAAGGCTTGCTTCCCTTCTGGGCTTCCAGGAGCTGCTCTGGCACAGCTTGCTGCAATAGTGAACCCAGCAAACAAACCTACCTTGACTGAGCTACAGCGTTTTTGAGAAAAAAATGCCTCTCAGCAATTACAGTTTTTTTTTGCAAAAAAAAGGGCTCTCCCAATTTTGTTTTGCCACAAAAGCGAACCCTCCAAACAATACATGAGTTTCAGAATAATTTGGAAAAAATTTGCCACAATAGCGACCCTAGGTACTAATCAGGACCCAACATTAACAGAAAGCTTTGCCGACCCAGTGGATCGGATCTGTTTCAACCTAGGCAACTTGACCCAGTTCTCAACAGGACCCAATTCCTTGACCTCTCCTGTGTTCCGCTCCACAATGACAGTCTTTCTCCAGGGCAGTGTCTCAGGCATGACACCGTCAGGTTGGGTACGATGTCGGTCTGTGCCGCGGCAAGCGACTACCAGCTGGACTTTGATTTCAGGAACCAACATCTGAACCAGCTGCAACACAGTATCCCCATCCCCAGTAAAACAAGCATTGCCAACCCTTGGGGTACTATATCCAACAGTTCGAAAGATGTCACTCCAGCTGGGAGCCTTGCCATACATTGATGACTCCGGCTGTTTCAGCCCAACGCGTCGCCTTTTTTGTAGCCGCAGAGATTCTTCTGCCAGAGGTCTCTCATGTGCCTCCAATCCCAAAATGATTTCTTCAAGCAACAGCGGATCCTCATAATTCCTACACTCCCACAAGACTACCCCTGCAACCCTGCGCGCAAACTGTGCAGTGTATGCTTGTGCGTACGCTGAAACATTTTGCCATTCCCCATGAATTTTGAACTGGCCTTTGATAGGGGTATGTTGGTGATCCTTTATGCATACTTGGGAGTGCAACATTTCAAACATCGTCCGACTGGTTGTGAAAACTTGCGTTCGTTTTTGGAGGAAGTCTGAGGACCGAGGCATTCTAAGCTTCCCAACCCGACACATGTCAAAAGTCGCCGGTAGTGTGCCCCTTCGGACATCATCCAGTTCCGGTTGCAAGACCATCTCTGAACCCCTGGGTTGTTCCAAGTGAAAGTGTCGAGATTCACTGATTTGGTGAAGGTACAACTGATTGCATAACACCAAGTGTGGACCATCAGTTTTCCTTTTAAGATTGATTTGATCAAACATTGTTGTACTTCTCCCCATATTGAATCTGGAAAAGTTTCCCCACAATCGACATTCGGGTGCTACCCATATATGACGTGGCTCAAAAAGATAAATCCATCCCCATAACTTTTGTTGACCCTCTGGTGTACTTAGATCCCCATCATCCTTCGTGAATCTGAGAGATTTACCACCCATACGTTGAACTTGTTTGGATAACTGGGAGTTGGGCTCACAGTAAATTTCCAAGAGGTCAATCTGATCTTTGGGGTTCTTTTGACAGTTGGATTCCTTGGAGCCATCACATTGAAAGTATTGTCCATGAGACTTGACAACCTTGGGACGTGATCCAACATACCTATCATCGGCTTTCAGGGTTATCAAACCGTGTTCAATTTCAGTGGCCTTACTTTGAAGATTTGCATGCAAACCATGGAACGAAGGCACACCTACTCTGCTGAGCTGGATCCCTGAGTCTCCTTCAGCAATTCTCGCTGAAGAATCGCAATCTGGGCTTGGATCTGGTTCACCTTCTCGTGATTGATCGGTATCTCCATGGGCTTGATCGGTGGCGTCATGCCCCTCTTGTTGTTCTTGCTCTCCTCGGGCACTGGTGTCTCGACTGCCACCTTTGTCCAATTGGACTCTTCCAACACCTGACGAGATGGGTAAGCCCCTGGGATTGCCTTTGGTGACATCTTGGCCATCGGTTGAATGGGTGTCTGCTCTGTCGGCGGGACACGCGGAGGAGTCACATTCACTGAGTCCTCCCCACGTGTGAGGCGTTGTCTTTCCAGACTGGCTGCCCTCCGCTCGCGACAGTAGAGCTGGAAGCTCCTCACCCATGACGAGACCCCTCGTCTGTTCCATAGCTGCTTCACATACATTCTGTCGTCCTCGTAGATGGTGGCGAAAGGCTTGCTGGCATGCTTTCCTGACGATGCCTTGACTCGCCCCCAATCTGTCAGGGTGTTGATGCCTGGTGGCCGCATCAGCACTTCGGGCAAGTCCTCGTGGTGTGTCGAGGTCTGCAACGACGGGTCTGTTGGAGTGGTCAGAACCCGATCCAGGTAGCTCGGCACCATCTACTATGACATCAGAGGAAATCACGGGTGTGCTCAACTTTTCACACGTGGGTTGAGCTTGGTCACTTTCGACTGCTGTACACAAAGATGCTGAGTCCTTTGGTCCTGAGTGCTGTCCTTGGTTTCCAGTTTCTGCACATTCCTTAGGAACCGTTTCACTGATGTTTTGAATTCGACCTACTGTAGGTTCTTCATGCAAGTGGTGGGTGTCATGACTACATTCTGGACTGACCTGTACCTGCCTCACATCATAACCATGTTGAGTTTGTGTTTTCGTTTCGTCCACAGGTGCGCAAAAGATGTGTGTTGGTGTGTTCTCCCCATGAGGTGCTTTCATCAACAGTTCAACCACCTTAATCCCCATAAGATTCTTTCGGACCGACTCCAACTTGATCTTTTGGGAACTACCTTTGAACCCCAACACTCGACCCTCAACATCAATGATCCCTTTAAGGCCACTTAGCACTGCATTTGAAATGAGGCATGGTGTATGACCTGGCACTACCTCAACACGGAGCCACCCATTTTGCAGTCTTGGAAGCATCACAGCAAAGCTACTAGTCAGGCGACCAGCATTTCCAAATTTTAAAACAACCCCATTTGTGGGAACCTTCATGACTCGACTTCGAAGTTCAGGGGGAAAGCTCCTCACAAGACGTTTCAACCTTTCACTACCGATCACTGCCCGACTGGCTCCCGTGTCGATGATGGCTTCATCATCGGCCTCCTCTGCATTAAAAACTTCTGCTGTGGGATGCACCACAAGGTTATCTCCTGGTGGGCCCTCAGCCGTGCAAATGGGTGCTCGGAACGACTCTGCAGCTGTGGCGACACTGGAGACATCATGTTTCCTACAACATTGATGGAGACGTTGAGAAACATTTTGGGTCCATTCATGAAAACACACCAAACAATCCTCGATACAATCCACAACAGTCTTCCCAAAACCAAGTGTCATGTTCTGTTTCCCGTCCTCATCATAGACCTCCGCAGTGCACGGAAGCTCATAGACAACGTCAAAGCCACTGCGATCACTATCATGTTCGCCATCTTGGTTGCCCTTGCCCTCGACTTGCGAGATGCCCGTGAAGGACTCCGTATCGTTCTTCTTTGCCATGAGAGAGTTGCCAGCAGGATTCGACGACATCGGACATTCTCTCTTCCAATGTCCTGGCTGGCCACATCGTCTACATGTGGAATTTGCGATGCGGTCTGCAAGGCTTCTTCGACGAAATCCTGCCGGACCAGAGCCACCCTTGGTGTTGCTGGCTCCCATGAACGGCTTGCCTTTTCGACCTTTTCCTTTTCCCTTGTATCCTGCCAATGGCCAAAAGCCTCTGGATTTGGCCTTGTCTCTCAAACGAGCTCTGGCCTCCTGGTAACTCACGAAGCAGGCCGCAAGTTCTTGAGACTCTTGACAGGCTGCACAGATCTGATCCTCAAACTCACTGACAAAGCAGGCATCTTCGTCACCATTTTCCAGGAGAACCTGAAAGGCAACTTCTTCGTCCACTTCTTCTTCAGCTTCTTGATACATCACTGTCTCGTCCTCAACCTGATTGACATCATACGTTTTGAGTTTGGGCACCATCTTGGAGTTGTTCTGCAGCTCCAAGAAAAACTTCGACCCAAGCAGCTTGATGCTCTTCTTCGCCTGGTCATACGATAATGCCCCACCACTCTCAAAGATGATCTTCTTGCGATCTTCACTGCTAAGCAAGGACTGCCGGATCAGGATGTATGCCCTGACTTCTTCGATGGTGACCTTTCTCATCAAGAGGTCTTCGAAGGCTGCATCATGACGTGCCATGTATGAGTCATGACTTTCATCAGCCTTCTGCACTGTGAGGTAAAGTGCTTTCTCAAACATATCCAGGCGCTCTTCTGTGTCTGGACGCCCCCATTGGCCGCCCAGCGCTTCCACCAAGTACTTCACGCCCTCTTTCTGCTTGAGTTTGTCCGGATCCAGCCTCGATATTTTCTGAAAAGCCACTCCTTCGACCAACAAGGCCGCCCTTGGTGCCAGCTGCTCCAAGTACTCAGCGGGCCATAGCTCCTTCAGGAACTCCAACTTCCTGGTGTAGACCCTGAGGTCTGTCTCCCCAGGAACGAACTTGGGGATCTGACTCCACGGCACCGCTGTGGAGAAGGCCCCGGACCCCGCTGCTTGCGCAGCTTCACCCTCCATGGCTCACACCTAGGGTGAAGTGAAAAGTCTCCTAGCCCCTGCTGTGAAAACCCCACTAGCACCTAGGATTTTGCGGCAGCCCAGACTCCGCTGCCAATGTGAATGTACTGGGAAAACCCTGTTTCCAAAATGGTCAACCCTGTTGAACCTACCACAACTGTGTCCCCAACACAAACCCAATGCTTGTAGCTTTTCCTTAACTCAAGTAGCCGCTCCCACCCACCACCTTAGTGGGTTCGATGAGATGGCCACAGAAAGGATGGCGATCGGAAGGCGCAGTGGTGATCTGCCAAAATCAAGGATATGACATGGACATGGACATGATGGGAAATTCCTGGTGCATTAACAATATGTGTACATTATTGTGTATAACATATATATATATATATATATAGTGTATATAGTGTATATATATATATATATATATTGTGTAATCATATATATGTATACAGTGAATAATAATATCTATATATTGTATTATGTATACATAGTGTATTTATTTTTATATATAGAGTATTGTATATGCATGTATATGTTGTGTATGATATAGATATATTGTATATGTACGTATAGTGTATACATATATATATATATATAGTGGATATATGTATGTATCATATATAGTGTATATATGTATCATCTATAGTGTATATATAAATACATATATATACATCTTCGTATGCATATATATATATACAGTATATGTATATATATATATACATATATATATCTATGTCAATGTCATGCATTTGATTATATATGTATATATATATATATATATATCTTACACTATATTATCTTGTTTACGACAGTTCTTTAACACTGATGGTGAGGGCGCCAGAGTTTGAGGACAATATTTTTCGCTTTGTGATACGAAACGTTGACCGTCGTTTGAGACGCGCCAAGGTCACATGCCCTGGGTCAGCCACATTGTGATGTTGTAGCTGACTGGGCTCTGGTCCCTGGCAACACCGAACTGGAGAAACATTCAAACAAGAAATGACAGAAATTGTGGATAGATGCTTAAGATGACAGAAATGAAACTATAAGATGCTCAAGAGATGCTAAAGATGAAACTATAAAATTACAGAAGTTTTGGAAGTCACACAGTGATAGATGCTGAAGAAGCCCATACAAACACGGTTGTTGGTGGTTAGCAATCCCCTTTCATAAGTTTATTTTGTTGGGAGGGTCAGCTTTGGTGTTGGCTGAAAAACCATGACCTTCAGTGGGACTTGTTCGCTTTTCGGGGGGCCAAGGGGTGGCCAGATAAGGAGCTGCCAATCACCGCAGATGCACAGTGTTTTTCCCAGAGACTCTGATCTGGCAGCAATTTCGGAAAGGAAAATTGTGCCGCGAAGGATAGAACTGGTAGTTGTTCGGCCTGAAACTTGATGAACTCACCCAAGAGATTGTTGTTTCCAATTGAAATCATTTTTTTCGAAATGGTGTATCGGGTGTATCAAAACCATGGGTTTCTGTGAAGGTGACTGGAGCATATTGGAGCCGAGAGGTGACTGATAGATCTTGTGCTTCCGGCGCTCAGCTTGACGACTGTTTTTCAGCTCAAAATGTGAAAGAAACTGTGAAACTTGGCCGGAAACTTCAGCGGCCTCAACTTGGAGTCAGAAGTGGACGGATCCTACAAGTTTGAACCCAACAGATTCAACAAAGAAAAAACCCAACAGATTCAAGACGATTCAAGACATATATCAGGCACCAAGTAATCCTAGTCCAGGCACGAGGAAAAATCATGAAAAATCATCATAGCACTCCGCCTGAAACCCTGGAACTTTTCATGGGATCTCATGGGCTGATGGCGCAGCGGTGATGTCATCATGCTCAGCTTTCTTTTCAAGAGGAGATAGGGATGGTGGAAGGATCAACGCTGGGGATGATTCCTGAATTGTTTTTTTTCTTCACGTAGCTAGGGATATTCCAATAGCAGAAAGTGGGATTGAATTTGGTTCTTACCAACCTGACTAGAAAATCGAAATGGCGAAATGTTAACATGGCCAGCACGAATAACATTCATCTCTGTCTGCATGCATACATTACATTTATATACATTTATATACATATATATGTATACATTTAGATATGAATGGTTTTCTATGTAATGTATATGTATATTTTGTATATGTGATAATACATGATCTATTTTATACTTACATACATATAATATCTATACCTATACAGGTATATAATTACCCCTATACATGTAAATACAATATATAGAAAATACATGTGCAGTACTGTGTTTTGTTTCAACAAATACACATGTCCCTGACAAGTTCCTGAAATCAGCCTTTTTGTTGACCCCTTCAGCAACGCCCTGACCGTCCCGCGCGGCCAGGGGCTCACAAAGTCCCGTCGGCTACAGAGCTCTGGAGGTTTCTCTGAGCCGAGAATGTCACATCTCCGAACACGATGAGGCTGCGGATCTGGGAAACCTCTCCTGTGTTTCTCAAGGTGGCTGGGAAATCTCCGAAAATCGAGGTTTTTCAAGGGAAACTCAGAGGGGAGTTTCCATGCCCATGGAAAAGATTACGGTAATCCATCTGGGGAAAATGGATGAACATGGCCTATTTATAGATGATTTACCTTGTAAACGTGACGCGGTTTTCCATAGTAAATGGTAGCCCAAAGTTTCAATGCATCCCCATAAATCACCCCCCGTAAAAAATCAAAAGATGTACTAAACTTATAGGGGGCGACCATTCCGAAAAGTCTAAATCCCAAGTGCAGAGTAAGTGGGGCAAGATGAACTCCGTGTGGCAATACAGCAATTTATGAAGGTGTGGATGCATGTATGTATGTAGTACTAATGCAACTTATGCATGTGATTCATACATATTCATACCCGCTGCGATGTGATATGATGCATCTTGTTTTCACATTGTTGTCGCAAAGAGGTTGTGATCTACTATGTCCCGGGATGAAGAGTGCTCCAAATATGTTATGTTTCGCAGTTTTGAGGATCCTCGATAAACCCTGGTGCTAAAAAGAGGCCGTACCCCGTGAGTGCTCCATGTTTACAGTGTTTTGTGATGTTTGATGATGTATGCTTAATTATACTCATAGCCTTTTGTTCTTGATTTTTTCCTACGTGTTTATATTGCTGTGATTCTGATGCATTGAAATTTATTCTATATTTAATGCGGTTCTGGACAGTTTATATAGAATTGAATCGTAGGGGTGGAGATAGGGCCCATATCCTTGGTTTTACATTGTGTTTTCTCTTGCAAAAGCATATTATAAAATATTATAAATAGACCCATGGCAAGTAGCAGATTCACGTATTTTTATTATGAATATGTAGTATGTATACACACACACAGTTGTGTTACAATACCCAAACATGATAAATTAATGAGATAAGCTAAGTCAACTTCTTAAACAAATGCGCAAAATTGACATCACAATATAAACTTGTTCATGCAACTGTGTTCTTATTGCTTAGATTTCATAGTTCTTACAAGCAAAAACTAAAGTCCAAGGACAGTCTGGCAACATCAAGGGAGATGCAGGTAGTTGCAGTTGCAAAGGTTATATCAGAGGCTAAAACCTTACAGGGCTCAAGTCAAGTTTTATCCCACGATTCTCCAGTGTGAACCAACATGGTTGGCATGAATCACCAGAACCACCCAAAGAATCGAACATTAAAAGTGTGAGCGCAGATCTTAATGGCTCTACAAAGTCGTGCGATCAAGTGTAAACTCCATCACAAACTAATAGTGATCATGGAAAGGCATGGAGTAAATCACTCTTCTCACATATGACCTATCTAGAGTGCAAACCCATGTATTTCCAACGTTCTAGTAAACATGGAATATATAAGATCATACAAGATCACTTTCCCCAATCGTAGAACAACATGACAAAATCAATCTTACATGCACGTAGCAGTGATCACCTCCAACCCATCACATGCATAGCCATTCCGGAAACTTAGAGTCTCATGCAAGCACCCATGGCAATCAATTTTGTATACAGTTGTGTTCTTGTCAGTGGAGTCTACCTGAACTTGCCATTGCAATGCATATTCTTCTCTCGCAAACCAACAATGCAGCAAACAGGAAACTTAGCAAATAGTGTCACATGCAAGCTGCACAAGCAGAGAGCATACCTAACATGACACACCGTTATGTTTTGGAAATTGCACACATTTTTCATTGGCAATACCTTTGCAAAGGGGGTGACTTGTATCATGCTCTTTTCATCTTATATTATGCAAATGTTTTCAAGATTATATGGAACGAATCTGGAAAGAACATGCAGCAATCAAAATATGTAAGTGAATGTGCTGATGAAGCAATCTGATTAGCCTAAATGGAGTTAGCATGTGGTGAGCGCAATTAAAACAGCAAATATCTTCAAGGATTTGCCTATATACAGCCATGGCAAGGAGCAGACAGCAGACCTAAGATAAAAGTGAGACGGTCTGAAAGCAACAACTTATGCTAACACCTTTTCCCCATTGATCAATTACTGGATTTTCAGGCATGTTTGAAGACTATTTTCAGATGAAGGTACTGTAGCAAGGGTGACCCCAGCTATATCTCAAACTATCATGCAAATAATCAATAGAAGTAATCATTGTACTATATATGTGATACGTTGCCATCCTGCGTTTGTAGTTCAGAAAAGTTGTAGCACTGTTGTTGGTTTTATTTACTCTATTTGAAATCGAACTTTAATTGACCCATATGTGGAGTTGGACTGTCCAAGAACTCAATATATTGACCACACGAAAGATGAACGGTATATGATCTAGCTGCTTGCTCCCTTGGGATGACTGCAGATGTTCTTTCAAGATTTCCAAGTAAATATCGAGCTTTCTAGGCATGACAAATGTAGCCTTCTTTGAAATAAATGATATCTTTCCTGTTTCCAAATAAATGTATGTAAATATCCTACTCTTCATCCTGTGTTCTTCTTGTGCCACTCTTGAATATCATGCACTGGCCCTTGTAGTGGCACAACATGGCCTTATATCATAGTGCTTACTTTTCTGATTCTATCGCCCACAAACCTTTAATTACATCATAATGTTCTTAAAAATATCATAGACATGTGCACATTTGTAGAACCTTAAACACGATACACACCACTTAAGTCCACATACGCACCGCTTGACGACTTTCTTGTTTCTGCAGGATATGTTTTTTGATAAAGGTGTTTTTCCCAGAGATTCCTAGAGATCCCCAGAGATCGAGGAAGGACAGTATATAAAATACTAGATATAACATCATTTAAAATACTAAATATAACATAATATAACACATAATCTCTAGAGGGGGCCAGTCGTTTTTTTTTCTTCCGACCCCACAGCTCCACCCTCTCCAGATTTTTGGAGAGACATTTTGAGTGGAGGATGAATGGTCTTCTGTTGTGAAGGCGGTTGCAGGAGACTTAAACAACCAACGAAACATATAATACACATATAAAACAAATACTACAGAAAGTACTACAACCAAAACATATACTAAGTTATACTAAGTACTGATGTGTTTGAATAACACTGTTCTAACATATTGTGTTGTGAGATGCTGCAAAGCATGCAAAACTCAGCATACGGAATGCATGCTTTAATATGCTTTAATATCATACTGCATTTCCAAAAACGTGGAAACCTGGGGCCCTGGTGGGGTACCTTTCTGCTGAAAATAGGGTATCCACAATTGCACTGGATGAGAAAAGCATGTTCCCTATCAAAATGGATATGTGTTAGTATACTCTATTTTCAGATATACACATAATCTTAGAAGGGACAGAGTTGTGTTCCTAAGATCGGCAGCATCAGCAGCTGAGTGCATGGTTACCGAATGGTTGAGGCATGTGTTTGGGCCAGGCCGCTGTCAGTTCCTGTCCTAAATGGGGGCAAAATTTCCAGAGGATGGGTCTTCTATGATGAACCAGGTAACACAAATCATTATTACTAGCAATGAGTATTAGTGGTTAGTAGTATTAGTGATTACATAGTGATCTCATCTATAGGTTGGTGTATAAACCCTGTACAAGTTGGTTTAGTTTCACCCCATCAATCAGAGTTATATCTCAGATAGACCATAGCTATTGGAGTTATTTGCACCAAGTTAGCTACCACGCAACTGAGCTAGAATAGTTATAAATAACTATCGATTGGATTCCCGATTGGATTCAATACACATTAATAAACTATAAATCCCAGGTTTTCATAGTTAAATTCCCATTTCTAGTTGTGTTGTTGGATTGGTTGAAGGGAACATCGAACGCGGAGACCATGGCTTTTTACTGCAACATTGTCCCTTAAAGCCAATCTCAACTATAAATCCATTTTTGTTCATGTTCTCAAAGTTAAAGTCCAATATAATATATATATATATATGTATATGCATATATATATATATACATATGTATATATAAATCCAAGGTTTTCATGGTGAAATTCCTATGTTTTTCGTTTTGATATCACTACCTCTTGGCGGTGCTGCAAAAATCCAGGCGCCCAGACTGCCCGAGATGCCGGCCACCCTGGAGTCCACCCTCAAGCCCAAGCAGGGTCAGGCGAAGCCATAAATTCGTTGGTTAGTTAGTCATCCTTTCCCCAATGCTCCATGTATGTAATATTTGCCAACATTTACCCCCTAAGTGACCCTAAGGTAGGTAAATCTACCATACATGGAGCATATGGATTTTCCCTTTTTTGGGATAGCCATGGATGGTAAAACACATGAAACAAATCCTGCACCACCTGGGTTGAAACATGTTGAAACATGTTGAACCATGTTGAACCCATATAAATAATGGACTGGTTGGTACCGATCGACTGGTGCAAGATTTTGCAACCATCCACAGTACGTGCCCGGTAATGGAAAATCAGACATATGGAATTAGATGACAATCTGACAATCCCAACTTTTTCCATGAAGAAGTGGTAATTTTTGAGCTACAAGCAGCAACTTTTTCCATGACCAGCGGGCTCCAGGTGTGCTTCGATGTGGAGGCTGCGCAGGAGGACGGGGTCCGCTCCGCCGAAGCGAGCGTGTCTTGGATGGCTTCAAGGTGATGCTATTGCCTAAATCAACATGGGGGAGCAGTTTATCCGTACTGATGAGGATTCAGGAAATTGATTTGGATTTAAGGGAAAGTCGAAGCCGGAAACCATGGTTTTTACCAGTAAAATATAGAGGTATCCTGTAAAATTTCCCTTAAAGCAATTGAATGATTATCAGATATCATCAGCAAATGAAGAGGTTGACAATATACAAGGGAGAAATAGCTGATATCAATGGTTGCTCGTAGACACATTCATGTTAAAATAGGTCGACCTCCTCGTAAGTTTGTCCTATATTTTGTAAAGGGGTGAACATGAATTTTGCCAGCTAAATAGAAAGAAAGAGAGAGAGAGAGAGATTGATAGATAGACAGAGAGATAGACAGAGAGATAGAGACGGAGATGATCAGCTGGTTGATTATTGGTATCCTATTGGTTTGATCATCTCCTAGTAATAACATATCCTTTTGCGTTTTTTCTTATTGGTTTTGCTGATTGCAGCTGGCTGAGAATGGAATATCATCAACCCGCTTGGGGAATCGGCCAAAAAATATCAATGGGAGATCTCCAGGATCCTAAAATGGAGGTACTGTACCATATAAGGCTATATTTTGTGGTGATATTCCCTTACATAGGCCTAACAAATAGGCCTTATATATGGTAGGTACCTCCATTTTAGGATCCTGAAATTCCCATCGAACATAGGTGCAGATGGTGCTGTCAAGACCAACATTCATACTTGGAATATCCCCAAGTAGGAGAATTAAAGGGGGCTGATTGGTGACTTTGTGACCACTGTTGTGTTTTTTTTGGAGCAGTTATCAACTACGGATTGTAGGGATTATATTCTCATCTGTTTAGAATAGATTATATGAAAATTGTTGAACCATATTTGTGCTTAACCCCTATAAATTGCTATAGTCCCTAGTTATCAACATTGAATGATCCTCCAAGTGGTCGGCTCAGTTGGTATTTCTGAGGTGCACAAGAAAGCCTTCATCCGAATGTCTAAGAAGATCATGTCGCAGCGCAGCTACAGCGTGAACTTCAACATTGCTGCCAGCGGGCTCCTGCGCGCCCAAAGAGATGGGGGTGTCTTGTTGGGGGTTAGGAAACTCTAACTAAATAGGTAAATCATATCAATGGGAATTTCAGGATCCTAAAATGGAGGTACTGTACCATATAAGGCCATATTTTGTGGTGATATTCACTTACATAGGCCTTATATAGGCCTTCTATATGGTAGATACCTCCATTTTAGGATCCTGAAATTCCCATTGATCATAGATCATGTATAAATTGTGATTCCAACCTCAAAATGTGAGGACATCTTGGAACAGGATGCCTGGCTTTTTGAACTTCTGTCGCAGTCGATCCATGTTGGCGAGCATCGTTTCACTGGCCGACCTGCGGCAAAGCCAACAATAGCGAACTGGAAAATCACAATTTTTAGTATACATGATCATAGATTACGCACAAATGAACCATTTTTTCCATAGCCATAGCTATGTTAAACCAGAGGGCACATTCATTTACCAGAAATAATAAGGAAGAAGACTCATTTTTGATCATGAATTGCTTCAAGAGCTAGATCTTTCCTTTCCCATTAGTGTTGCTTTGGGGGTGCAGTTCCAGTTCTAAGTGGATGTTGAACCATATTTATAGGCTTTATAGGGGTCAAATCCCAACAATTTCCAACTTATGGGATTATTAGCACATTGTTTATACCCATTCATAACCCCTAAATGGGTATGGGTCAATACCTATAGATACATTTTTAGCGGGATGAACATCCATTTACCAGCTATTTTGGGGTTCACTAAGTACCAGGGTTTTGACCCATCCCCAAATTGCAGCCCCCACATTTTCTTCTCTTTCAAACGACGGTGAAGCGGTGAAGCCCGAGCTCAGGTTGCTTGATGATGATGATGGCGACGGTGAGCAGGTGCTGACTGTTTGGTGTCTCGGGATGCTGGGTGAATGGGTACCCATTTTTGGTCATGGAACGTGTGGAACATCACCCGTCTTAATATAAAGGTATATAAATATGTATATATATATAAATTATATAAAGGTCATAGTTTCTTTTTACTGGGCCATGTTCCGCAAGTATGTTGAAAAACCTAAATGTGTGTTCGAAATTCGCCTAAGATTTTTCAACACGAGGCCGAGCGGGCTGGTGTTTTTTATCCATAGCTAAGGGTTTCCCATGCCATGCGGCACGTTCCTTTGCATGTCGCCTTGTTACCCCCTGGTAATTTAACATAACTATGGAAAATCACCATTTTCAATGGGCAAATCCACTATAAATGGTGATTTTCAATAGCTATGTTAAATTACCAGAGGGTATTTCCTGTAAACCAGCAGAACTCCGGCTCAGGAGGGCAAAAACGATGATGACGAGCAGGACTGATCGATGGTCAGCGGATGGAATGGTCAGCTGCGCTTGTCCCAAGAATGTCTCTCCTTTGATCCCCATGAACTTTGCAACCAGATTCCATATCAAAACTACCCTCTGGTAATGACTAACATAGCTATTGAAAATCACCATTTATAGTGGATTTTCTTATTGAACATGGTGATTTTCCATAGTTATGTTAGTCATTACCAGAGGGTATCCCAAAATATCCCAAAACCGTGAACAAGAAAAGCCATGGAATTTGGGGATGGGGATAGTGGATGATCTTGGGATGGTCGAAGGAGAATTTCAAAGGAATGCTCAAGGGCTTTTTCAAGCACTTGGTGGTCGTTCCTGAGCTCAGTGAGGCTTTAAAGGCGCGCGTGGGGCTGAAAGGATTGGAATGCTATGATTCATGATGTTTGGAAAGATACATATATATATATATGGAGTACATATTATAGATAATCCAATGTCTTGGAGTCCAATGGATATTTAGTATAGAATGAAATTTAATGATAACTTGAAATATATATATATATTATATATGTGACCGGAACATATTGAGATATTCGATTATATACATTGGAATAGAAACTGAAGAGATAAGACGGAGAAGCTACCCTCTGGAAATATTTAACATTGCTTGCTGGAAAATTCTAACTTTTAATGGACAAATGCGGGATAATCATCTACAAACTTGCAATTTTAAGTGCCATTAAATTCCGGAGTATGTTGGATCATAATGGCGTATGCTGGGATGTTGGAATATAATGTATTATATCCGCAATGTAATTACTCATACTGGTGTATATATATATATACGTATAATTGTATATATGTATGCAATATGAAAAAAGACAATATATCATGACTTGTATCCTTCTATGTTGCATTATGTCATAGGAACCCAGCATGAATCATTTAGTAGTACATAATTATCTATATTGGATTGGGATATGAGTCATGAGTTGGACGAAGCATTCGGCTTCAGTTAGACGAAGTTAGCCACCAGAAACGAGAACCCCCTGCAGATTCTAAATGTGGGAAGTTGGGTTCCTATTGAAGATGTATGACTTTTCAGACCCACGTGGTGCTGGGTTGTTTTTTTTAACTTCTAAGAGTCGAATATTTTTAGAAATTTTCCCACGGTGATGAACAACTTTGCTGCTGAGAGGATGCCACATGCTGTGATGACGTGGCTGATAGAGACCCGCGGCCACCACTATTTCATTCCAAAGGGGTCTTCTGTGGAGCTGAATCCTGAAACAAATCCGCAGTAGTGGCAGTTTCTAAGTCCCCGACTCTTGCTGCTTAAATCGGAGTAATTCACCATCATCTTTCCATTTGGTGAACAACTCTTTAATTTTGGGAGGTTTAGGCCAATGCACATCTGAGTCTGTCCAAGACTGTGATATACAGTACCCTGAATATCATTTTGTGATGATCACACTGAAATGGCCATGTTATAGCGATATATGATTCTTTTTTTAGATGCACCCACTGAATTGTGCGTGAAATCCAAGTATACAATCGTTCCATCAAACAAACTTATTATAACATATTAGTATGACAACCATTGGTTTGCTGTGCAGACAATGCTTTTTTTTATGGTGATTGTTGTCAATACCTATAGATACCATTACTATAGTGGGATGAACATCCATAAATCCCAGCTATGACTTGATGTGAACAGAAGGGGTACCAGGGTTTTGACCCATCCCCATCTGCAGTTCGGAGGCCAAAGGCTTTGTTCACTGGGTGGAGGCGTTGTTCCGCTGCCATGATGACCGTTTTGTGTTGCAAATTGCAACGAAAAAAACGGTTCAGGACGAAAAACATAAGGATTGATGGTTGATGTTATTATCCCAATCAACATATATTGTTCATAAGTGGCGAGTTTTGATTTGTCATGAAGATAAAGTTTATGTTATTACCCCAATCAACATATTGTTCAGAGGGGGTGACAATTTTTGACCCTTAATGAAAGTAAAGTTGATGTTTTTACCCCATGCAACATATTGTTCAGAGGGGGTGGCAAATTTTAATGTGATGATGATGATGATGATGATTATGATCATGACGATTGTAAGTGTGGAACAACGTCCGGGTTGGGGCGAACGTGTTTAAATGAATTCACTAGGGTCCCCTACTACCCGGATTGGTTTAAACATTCTCGGCCCAAACGTCGCTTAAACAAAAACATGTTTGAACCGTTTAAACCAATGCTAGGCCCAAGTCTGATAGCGACAGTAAAAACAATAGTACTAAAGTTTGGTTCATTGCCATCCCAAATATTCCCAAATTACTTGTTTTTGAGTAGTTATAACCAACCACCTAAGCCAAGGTCTTGTTTTTAAATGTCCTCCTGGTGCAGGTCTGGGATCTAAGCATCACTGTGCTGATTTTTTTGCTTGCGTCCCTTGGACGTGAGGGGCTACAACGTGCGAAAACACGTGTCCAGTGAACAGGTTGGATACCAATAAAACTGAGTATCTAAACCATCAGCATGGAGATTCATGACACTTGACCTCCGGACCCCCAGTCCGGTCTCTAGAACCATCATTAACCATCATTAACATCATTAACCATCATTAATCATTATTAACCATCATTAACCATATTAATCATTATTAACCATCATTAAACATCATTAACCATCATCAACCCCCAGTCCGGTCTCTAGAAGATGATTTTCCGCACTTGGAATTTGAGGGCGTAGAATCAGGTCCAGGCTGGGGAAGAACCACTGCCCAGATCACCACCAACTCACCGATTTTTGTGTGTAACTGGCTCCAGAAACTCGAATTCTAAGCCCATTCTAAGCCCATTTTGGGAGGTAATATGGCGTAGTTACATTGATCAATGGAACTGGCCTTCTGGAGCCACCTGGAAATTGCACCACAATGAAGTGGTTGGAATTGGACTGGTGAGTGGATATCCCAGGCCTGCTTCTCGGTCAAAGTTTAAGGCCGCAAAGCCACACAAAATCTGAATAGAAGTGTATATATGCGTAAATGTGTATATATATATATGCAGAATTATGCATATTATATATATATGCATGAAACTTACACACATATGGTATGATCTGGTTGTATATTTTGATATGCATACACAATCTATGCAAGACTGTACATGGACATACAGTTTTAATCAGGTTTGTACGTTTTAACAAAATCAAACCCCAACCACTACTGGGCTTATAAACCACAAACTATCTCAATGAAATAATCCATGTACTAAGTGAACTAACTCCTTATCAGCCCATCTAAGCGTCTCCTTTTTTTGGTGCTCATCATGGCCCAGTCATGGCCCAGTCATGTTGGATCTCCTGGATGATCTGAGGTACTATCTTCCATGGATTCTGGTGCCACGGGGATGGAAATGGGCGAAAAGCGGATTGTGGACTTGCCATGACTTTCTCAAGGGAAAAGCTGCAAGATAGCTCAAGCTAGGCTGCTAAAAACCAGGCGTTCCTGTGGATGTTCATTTACGGAAGTTCTCGTCATCCATTAACTCTAAAGGTTGCCATTTCAATGGAGGAATCTCGTCACCTGCTAAGCTTTGGTATCCATTTTATGGTCGGGGTTTCACTAGGATTCCGACAGACATACCCGGCCTGGTAAACTAACATCATAGCTATTGAAAATGGCCATTGAAATAGTGGTTTTACCCATTAAAAATAGTGATTTTCCATAGCTATGTTAGTTTACCAGAGGGCAACTTGTTTGCAATGATTTTTTTTGGTAGCCTCTGGTAATCAACCATAATCACCAATCTGGTAATCAACCATAAATCAACCATTATGTGCCATTAATCAACCATAATCAACCATGGCAATCGGAAATCAACCTGGCTGGATCGCAAAACGTGAATTCTGGTCCCATTCTTTGAATGGGGGTGGATTGAAGTCAATGGGGGTTGTATAGATATGTGTGTATGTATATATGTATATATCATTATATATATATGCACAGATACACAATTATTGTTCATTATATACTTCAATACTATATACATACAGTTATGCATATTTATATGTACATGTACATTTGGAAAGATTGACAGCTTAAATTCGGTTCTATCCCCATATCCCACACCATAAAATGGCTGGTGGTGGACATCATGTTTGTTCTTTAAATCCCCAACATATCAGACAGACAAACTTCAAACCGTTCAAATCCATATATTCTGAAATTCATATTGTTGGATGTATATATATATATATATTATGTATATATATATCACATGATATCATGTTCCATACAATCCCAGTAAAACCAAATTCCTCGTTGGATCCCAGGAATTCACCGAAAAAAAAAACACTGGTTTTTCTGCAGGTCTTTTGCACCTGGAAGGAGCTTCCAGCCTTCCACAGGTGGAGCCGGATGCCGAAACCGGTTTCGGTCAACGTTTTGAAGTCGGGGGAGTTTGCAGTCGTCACCATGGTTGTTTCAAGACTACCCTCTGGTAAACATACAAAAAACTATGGAAAATCACCATTTTTAATGGGAAAACTCACTATAAATGGTGATTTTCAATAGCTATGTTTAATTACCAGAGGGTAAAACTGCTGAAAAATACTGGAACCAACTGACTTTGTATTCAGAACAAGTAGTATCAACTATAATTGAGGGTATCAAGTCACATGTTTCAAGTCACTTGGATGATTTGGGGGTACCCCATGACGTAGGAAACCTATGGTCCATATGTGGATGCCTTGGTTAGATACGAACTGGTACCCTATAACCTTTTGCCATCAATGGTAACATGTACTAGTCACCAGGTATCTAAGATTCAGCATATCATGGGGATGGAAAGGTATGGATTCAGTCATATGGGGGTTTCCTGAAATGGGGGCAGCCTCCAAATCATCCAAGTCATGGATGATTCGATGACCACTTGAAACTTGAAACAACCATGGTGACGACTGGGGTACCATTTTAGGAGACCTCCACAGCATTTCTCATTTGGGATGAGGATCTGCAATGTGAAATGGCTAGCTCGACCACCAACCAGTGTGTGTGTGTGCGTGTCAGCGTTTTTTTTCAGTATGGTCCATAGGGTTGCTTGAAAAAAATCATTGGTTTGCGAAATGTAGAGAGATGTAGAGAGGATTGACTACACGTCAGCGAAGCATGACCACCTATTGACATGTTGTAAATTTCCAACCATCTCAAATATGTACAATAAATATTATGGTAAAAAGTTAGCAGAGGGAGTATGAAGCTTGGTTCCGATAAATGTCAGGCCTTGTCATGGCTCAAATGGCTCAAACCTAGGAAGATGTTTGTGGTGGATTCTGGTTCCAGAGACCTAATTGACCTTATTGATTGGAAGATTGATTGGATATCATCGATTCAGGAAAAATAATACGTAGTGACCTCACTGTGACCTCACTGGAATCATGGCTAGTAAGGAAAATTGTCTCCAAATGGCCGTTTTTCAAGTTACTGTCATGAAATCGTATAATTTACGCAGATTGGTTCGAATTCGAATGTTTTTTTTTTCTTTAAACATCATACTCTTATGAAGGTGATTTTCTATTAACATTGGATTTGGCATTACATCTCAATCTTCAGCAATTTGGATTTGCTTAAGGTGATTTTCAACAATTCCCATTGGTAATTCCACCATTTGGCAAATCTACTGTGAATATTAAATCATGCTGAATTCCACCAGATGACTCTCTGTAATTGTATTCTACCAGATGACAATTTAAAACTGTATTGTACCAGATGACTTGTGGTAATTTCTTTCCACAGCAGTTTTTCGGTAATCATTAATTAGCTGTAATTGGTAATTATCGGTACTATATATTGCTATTATTGTCGATTAATAGCCACTATTCAACATGTAATACTAATATCCAGTGGTACTAATTTCTATTAATTCATTACTATTCAAATTCTCTGTTTTGGGTCCCCCAACTTCAGTCATTGCTCAAACTACCACTTTTGTGGCCACAGGACCTTAATCCATGAGTGCCCAAAATAGCTGGTATATGAATGGATGTACCCCTATCCTCATTGGTTTTGAGGACATATTTTGTGACCCATCTTTAATTCCTAGTCTAAACGGATAGTTATAAGATGTTGAAAGTTGTAACGTGTTATAGTCCAATTTCGCTGAATTGCCTAGATCTCCATTGTGTATGCCTACCCGTGACATCCCCACATCTCCAGAACATCCATCCGAGCAGGTTGTTAGAGACCATCATGAGCCTTGTGTTCACCGTGGTCACTTGGTTTAATGAATGGTTCGCAAAGATGCGTGGGCGGCTTCCAGATGTTTTGTGTTTACCATCGTCATCGTCATCCTTATCATCATCATCATTATCACCACCACCACCGCCACCACCACCACCATCATCATCGTCATCATCATCATCATCATCAGCATCATCATCATCATCATCATCATCATCATCATCATCATCATCATGTCCCTGACTCAGTCATATGATGTATTGTTGCTCTGTATGGAATGGGTCAGTCACACATGTTTCATCCGCGAGCCGGGGCAGGTCACAGCGAGTTTTTAGAGCAACAACTGCGTGCTGTTAAGGGATAGTGCCAGCTTGCTATGGAGGACAAGTGACATTTCGCACTTCCCATTTTTCAGAATATCTCAGTTGGTGTGAGAGAAACCAGTTTGCCTGGCGGTGATGCACAAGTGTGTGAAACTCGGTATTGCTCTTGCGCCAACATCCCTTGGCGACTCTGCAAATCATGCTTCGTGGCAGACCTTGGGGCCGCAGGTTTTCTCCTATCCATATATTGGCACCTTTTCCAAGTGAATCTCTTGTTACTTGTTGTTACTTTTCCTCGTTGTATCCACCGAACATGTTTTTGGGTACCCACCAAAAGATGCATAACTCCCTGCTGAGGACATGTTTTTGCAGTTCTTCATTGCTTATGCCCTTCCCAACAGTCAGCTGTTTGGGCCTCGGATGGAGCACTCGTCACGACCAAGAGTTGCAAGATGGTCGGTCAGGAAATGTAAGGAACATCATTTCCCAATGTCAGGAAGTTGTTTTAGTCTCGGAATGTGTTGACATACTTTAGCAAAACCAAGTGGATTTATTTCAGGTCACTGAAATTTTCTTTGGGGTGGAAATCTGAGGATTCCCCATGTGTTTCTTGCTGGTCACAGAATCTTCAGCTGGCGTTGTCTGAAAAATGGGTATAGCATGGTATAGCTGAAAATGGACATAATAGAGAAGTGATTGGAAGATGGTAAACCATGATAAACCAAAGGATTTAGGCTTACCATGCATATGGCTTAGCCTATTTTTCTATACCCAAGTCCGACTAGTCCGTGGTTCCCAACGGTTCAATGCTTCATCCTTTTAGCGCATCAGGTCGCATGGTCCGTGGCAAAAAGATCCGTGGAAGATCATATCGAACTATATGGGTTTCGAAAGCTCCTTCGGTTGGTCCCTGGGCTCTATGGGTTTCGCGCTGGGAAAATCCCCGAACTGGAGGTTTTCAGAAGGGAAACTCAGCTCTGCCAATAGGGGATTTTTGGAGTGGATCATTCCTCAGATAGATAGTGGATGATAGTGGATACACTATGATACACTATGATACACTGAAGCACCAAAAAACTGGAAAAAAATGCATTTCTAAGCAGTTCCCAGTAACCTATCACATCTGGCAGTGCCCTGATCGTTGAATCCTCCCGGAGCTTGGCGATTTCGTTGTGCAAAAGTTGTATTCCCGCTGGTTTTTTTTGTCCGTATCCCGATGTGTTCTGAATCAAGTTCCGCTTGTTCTCTCCTTGTTTCTGTAGAAAAATATGAATGTCCCACTCTTGTCGATGTTTGACATCCCAATTTCTTGATTGATTTTCCACTTAGTTTCGTCTCCATGTTCCTCGCCAAGATGTTTTTGCGACCTTACGCGACCTTACGCGACTTTACGCGACCTTACAATCACCCACCATGAATGATTTTGGTGGGAGAACCCATTATCCCCCAAAATAGGTTGTTTGAAGCTTGTGAAATTTGAGCTTGCCTGAAAATAGAATAGCCCTAAATCTGCTGGTGAATCATTATATTTCCTGGAAAACCCAGTTTTCAGACACCCATATTTCAGTCAGTGCCCAGATGTTCGTGAGTGAATCTCCAATGTCTGCTTGGCAACGACAAAAAGAACCCAAGGTTTTGGCTGGACTTGCTATCAGTGGCGCCTTTCTGGATGCGGGTCTTAAATGCGTCCAAGCTGGAGATCTGGAATTTGGGTGTTCACATATGGATGGGATGGAGTTGCGGGCATGAACATCCATGAGCTGCAACTATTTTGGTGTTTTTTTAAATATTATTTTAAAAGCATATGGAGATTCCCGAAATGGGGGTATCCCCAAATCATCTATTTCAATCGGATTTTCCATGAACTAAACCATCCAGCTATCGCAGGTATCCCCATTTATGGAAGGCCCCATATGATGCGGAACTCCTGGAATCTCCTGGATTAGCTGAGTCGGTTTCTATGTTTTTGGTCACCGGTTGGCTTATCATTTTACGAAACATATTGTGGTGATAATGTAATATGTTGGGTGAAAGCCTATGCTGGGTTAATCCCTATGTTGTGTTAATCCCAGGTTAAGATGTTTCTTGGTGAATATCCGCCATCGAAGAAACCCTTTTTCAGTGTGGAATTGGGTGGGCTGAACGAGGAACTAGACGAATTTTGATTACAGTGAATCGTGTCCCCCCGTTGTTTTCCTGGTTGATATTCCCTGTGTGGGCTGCTCAGCCCACTCATTTTTCGCATCCCATGGTCAAATCCTGAAAAAAAAGATGGCCACTAATCTCAATTTGTCATGTTTAAGTCCACCATTAATGAGCACTGCTACTGTAGATATCCTAAAGATGATCAACTCCTCATTTTCCATGTGTTGACTGATTTACTGTACATCTTTGGATCTTCCGACCTTCGGCTGGGTAAAAACCTTTTCCAAAAGGGTGTCTGAAAAAAAAGGGCTGGCTGTCAAGTTGACGGCGAAATTCCATAGAATCCAATACAATACGAAGACCAATTTCATATAATTTCATGAAATTTCTCACATTGCAAATTTCATCAAATTTCAGGAATTGTTTAACCATTTTCATGAAATTTCATCAGATTTTCATCAGATTTTCATCAGATTTTCCATATTCTTTGGTGCCAAGGGCGATCGCTCCTTTCCCTACATGGAGCACTTCCAAATGCTGTGTACCTTGGACTGAGATCCGGTGTGTTTTCTGGCTCCGGAGTGGAGCATCCACCGGTGGTGTAACCAGTTTTTTCAGAATGGTAACATCATCGAACAATATGTAAATCAATCCAGTATACATATGTTTAAGATATCCCAATATAATATATCCCAATATAATACTCAACAAATATATCCCAATGTAACATAATATATAGGGACTCTTCAGATTCCCATTAGTGGTGCAGTTGGGATTGTTAATGTACTCCCAATAAGTTTGGATACAACATGATATAACCTCTCTAACTACGGTCATGTATCCACTTACAACTGGAATTGCACCCAAAAAAGTATGGAATGGATCACCATAGCACCTATACCATATGATACCGTATGTTTGGTTGCAGACATTATATATATATTATATTTACACACGTACATATACAGACACACACACACATATATATATATATATATATAGTATCCATGTATTGAATCCGATTATAAACCATTAGTTTTGGTTCCAGATATCTAAATCCTATTCCACACCATGATATTATATTCTCATTATGGAATGGATGATTATATACATCCCCTGCAATGGATCTGTAATTCATAGGGAGTATATTTGTTCATCAAATATTATCGGATCACCCGCGCTGGTAATCCCATCCCACTAATATATACTAAACATCATTGTATGGTCCCAAATCTGTGATTTCATGCCCCTACTAAACCATGGTTTCCCGTGTGTTGTGTAGCATTAGGGGGACTCGGGACAGTTGATGAAAACAGCTATTTCTATCCAATCTGTGTTGGTTAATTTATGGTGGCTTCACCTTTTTCGCTACCCTCTGGTAAACTAACGTAACTATGGCCATTTTCAATAGCTATGTTAAATTACCAGAGGGTATTTGTTAAAACAGATAAATCCATCGACATCCCATCGACCAGCTTCCACCTTCGAGGCCTCCTGCGCGTGCTGAAGATGATCAGGCGCCGAACTTCCGGAACCCAGCGGTTTGTCGCAGCGTTTCCTACGGGGCCGGGTTGAAGAAAGAAACATGGATTCACAGATTCACAATGTACATAGTCCGAATCCGAGTTTCAAGATCTTTAAACCATCTTAAACCAAAGAATGTGGGCAATCAATATTTCTGAGCCAATCTCATGTCCAGAATTTCGAAGATTTGACTCCGGACGGTTTCTGGCACCCAACCTCACCTTTCCTTTGCATTGATATATCCATGCACCTGGTCAAACAGTGGCCGTGGCAGCGTGTAGCAGGACATGACAGGGACACGATCTCTTGAGTTTAATTTAGGCACAGTTCAATCATTATTTTCATTGAACATCAGGAAAATATGTAGATTTTCCCATTAAAAATGGTGATTTTCCATAGCTATGTTAGTTTACCAGAGGGTAGACACTGCAGCCTGCCAGAAAAAAAATAATGTCAGATGAACCCGTCTTCGCCAGTTCAATCAAACTGTGATCGATTTTGGCTATTTGGCTGGCCGAAATTTACTCTGTTCAAATGCCTCCGATGTTTATGCTCTTTTTGATGGTTTCAGGCGAGTTGCATCCCAAAACATGGGGAATCCATGCCCAGAAAATGGTTTTTCCTACTATTTTGATGATTTTTGTCTTTTTGAATTCTATACTATACGTTTCAATATACGTTTCAACATCCTGCAAGTACCATAAAGTATGGGCCGTTGTTGCTGCCCTCGGTGCTAGGATGATCAACCTGCCGCGGCTCTGGCGCTTCATGAGTCGCTGGCAAGCCTCCTTGGGGTCACTGGACTGGACCAGTGGGACATGACGTCAGACTGATGCCAACCAAAAGAAGTGGAACGTTCAGTAGGGATTCTGATGATGATGATGATGACGATGACAAGGGAAATAATGATGGTGATGATGATGATGATGATGGTGATGATGATGGTGATGATGATGATGATGATGATGATGATGATGATTTTGAATGGCTAATCTCTAAATGTGCTTATATATAATTATATATATATATACATAGTATGTAAACATTATCATGTTATATAAATATGTATACATATAAATATGTATACATATAAATATGTATACATATTGAAAGAATGGTGGAACCTACCAACCAGCTAAGAATGATTCATTGCTCTGCCAGCCACGTGCTCATCATGGAACACCCTGTCTCGAACCACCTAGACTGAAGTGTCCTGGTGTAGTCTTCTTCCCTTAACTGGATAGGCGTGAGCTTCCGATATACATGTTGCTGACCAGAATTGTGAGGCCTGCGGTCCCTGGGGACTTAGTGTGCACTGTGCACAGACTCAGGTTTTCCTATTTGATTGTAGACTTCTGCAAGTTTATCTTCATCCTGACGCTCACGGCCCACCTGCCATTTGACCAAAAAACAATGAGCATTGGATTGTCAGCTTTGCGACTTCGGATTCTCCTAGCCGCAGGTTTTTGAACACAGGTCCACAGATGGCAATACCTCAAAAAGTGATTGACGCTGTTCCTTCAGACTAGGTAACGGGGAAAGATACAAGGTGTGTATGCTAAGATAAGCGATTTTGGTGGATAGCGGAATTATGTGGAACCTCCTCAAATAATGCCATCTACCGCAGTTTCATTGTTCGATTGCAGCCAATTGGTTCAATGATGTATCGACAGAACCGCTGCACCTTTGCATTCTTCTTGCGTAGTTGCAAAGGACTTGAATTGCCAAAGAAGGTACGAAGATGTACACTGCGTAGAATATGCACTGCAGTTGATTCAGATTCCTTTGGCTGAGTTTTGTAGGTAAAGTCATCCCCAAACAACTAGACAAACAATTCAAAATGTGCTGCTAGGGAATGATTTTTCATTTTTGTGGCGTGCTAAATATATACATATATATATATTTATTTATTTATTTATTTATTTATATTACATTTACATACATATGTATACACACATATATATATATAGAGGTATGTCCCACTTTTATCCCTGTCTTTTTTGGGCTCTATGGCAAGCACTGGTTAGTCCCTTTTTGCAATTTAATGTGTGTATATATATATGTGTATATAATATACACAAATATATATATATATATGTATTATATATATTATATACATATATATGTATATAATATATAATATATATATATATTTATGTATATTATATACACATATATACATATACATACAGTATAAACATCCTTTCTGGTTGCTTCACTGTGGCGCGGCGCCAATCACCAGCAGGATGCTTCCCTTCACCGAGGTTCGCTTGTGTATGGGTGGCGATCGAGGGCAAAGTCACGTCTCTTGGTGGCAGAGTTCATCCAGCGATGTGAACACTGGGACATTCACCAACTACTTACTGGTGCTTAGCAGGGAATGGATGGGACTGGGGGTTGCTGGGATGATTATTGATAGTTAGCCAGTGGATCATTCCCGAAAATTCCCTGCAGGGGGAATTAGATTATTATTGATAGTTAGCCAGTGGATCATTCCCTCATTCCCTGCTAAGCACCAGTAAGAAAACAGGGAATTGTATGATTTATCCTTAAGAAAAGCAATGAAAATCATTGCTGTGGGAGTCATGCAGCGCTGTGGAGTTCATATCTTTGGGATGTCATCATGACCGGGTTGTTTGCTCAGAACCCCCCCTCCCCCGCAAGGAATTCCATTCCAAGCATTTCCAACCATAGTCGGACTTAAGTCATTCACCTGAAGTCATTTCACCATAGTATTTTCCACATGCCAGAAAAATTACAGGAGACAGGAAACCCCATATTTCATTGAAAAATCGATGGTTTCCTGTAGATGTTCCCTTAAACCTATCCATTGACTTTTGCAAAAAGTTGAGCTTCACCACAGCTGTTTTGTTTTTTGCTAAGGAGAGGAGTCTTTAGCTACGCCACGGCGGATAACACCTGGTGTCTTGGATCCACCTTGGGGATGAATCGGACAGAAAAATCATCTGGTTTAAATCATGGTTTGTTGATGTTTATGATGGCTCAAATCATGGATTATTGATGTTTACTATAGAATACATGTGTTTATTGTACAGATTTATACAGTATATGGATGCATATGGTGTATCATCATCTTCCACATCTATGTGATGGCGCTGAAAGGGCTTATCCCGTATTTCCGCACGAAGCCATTTTGTTCCCACACGGTGCACATCACAGGATTGTCCTTAAAAAAAGGAACATAGAATATGGATTATATATCTATACATATCTGTGATTGTATACCCCTTAGAATTTATAAGGATATGCGGATATATTATCTACTGCGCGAACCTACACATAGATCACATAGAACTTTTCTGTATATTATCTACCCCTTAAAGTTCACTGGTCTAATAGATTGGGGTACCCCATTCTCAGACAAACCAATGTTAGATAGACATGCATGTTTCATGTTTTCCAATAATATGTGTATATATAAAACTATATAACCCTATAATTATACAATTATTCAACCATATAATTATACAATTGTATAACTGTATAATTATATATACATACATTATACACGCATACATATATTGATATCCCAACATATAACACTATATTCTCCCTTTATAGTTGATTTATATTCATATCTCATGAAAAGTCCGTTGTTTTGTTTGTATTTGATTTCTATCCAGAATATTAATAGTCCATCAATATTCCATTACTTCTTCGCTATTTTTTTTGTATTCATATCCCATTAATATTCCATGAACATACTATTCCATTGCTAAATCTGTTAATTTTCGTTTATATTCATATCTTCTACTTTTTATATGATATTATTTTATCTGCATGTACTATATATTTGATTTACATATATACAGTATATCCCATTACTAGTCCATTGTTTAATGGTTTAATATTTGATTCTATTCTATCCATAATGGACCATCAGTATTCCATTATTCCATTGCTAATTTCATTTATACAAATATCCCATGAATATTCCATTATTCGATTTTTAGACAAACTGTACATACATATTAATAGTGCAATGTCAATATATCCCGTTAATGGTCCATTAATATACCACCCACATTTGACTCCCATTGTATACATCATATTCTACTATCCATTTACATTTGATTTTGTTTATCCATATCCCATTGATATTCAATTATATATATAGTATACCATTGATATTCTAAGTATATTATACAATATCGCATGGTTGTATTATATTGTATTATATTATATTATATTTTATTTTATTTTATTATATTATATTATATCCCATTAATATATGTATATCCCATTGTACATCAAATATTCAGTTATTACTATATATGATATATCCCATTATTATCCCGTTATTATCCATGATTACAGTATCCCATGTTATAAAATCTACATCAAATATCCATCATTATAAAAAACATACAAAAAACGAACTGGAAAATCACAATGTTATAGCTGGGTTAATCAACTATTTCTATGGCAATTTTCAAAAAACATGCAAAAAACTATGGAAAATCACCATGTTTCATGGGTAAATCCACTATAAATGGCCATTTTCAATAGCTTTTTGTTTGTTTACCAGAGGGTATATCCCCGTATAGGCTCTCGGCCTTGATTGAGAGCAAGGCTGGGCGGAGATGGCGCAGTGCTTACCATGGCCGTGAGCCATACTTTAAAATGGGCTGCTACATTTTTTTGTAGCATAACAATCCATATCATATGTGATACAGTATATGTGATATATATATATACATTGATATATCATATGAAATATATACATAGAATATATCGAACAGCGGTGTTTTTTTGGTTTCGGGACTTAATGTCAATTCTAACTGCAGTTTGGGATTCTAAGTGCATGGTTATGATATGACCTTCTAGTTCTTAGTGCATTCTTATAATATCACTGCCGGCAATTCTTAGTGCACCCGCAGCAATTCTTAGTGCACTCCCCAGGTATCACTGGTTGTCACAATTCTAAGTGGTTGTCACTAACTGATTTACGAATTCTAAGTGCTAATCTGTCGCTATACCCATTAAAAATCTGGATTTACCCATTAAAAATGGTGATTTTCCATAGTTTTTTGTATGTTTACCCATGGTTCTGATCGTGAACGAAGAATTGAACCCATTTCTCCAGCGGAGAATCATCAGATCCAGAGAATCACCAGTTTTTTGGGCTCCATGATGCAGCCTGCAGGGCGATCCTTGCCACCCATCGGCTGCCAAGGATGGCCATGGCTATGGGATAAGGGGGAGAGGAAAATTCTGGGAGATGTTTGAGATTTTCTTGGGATAAAACCATGGCGAATGGGATACATGTTTTATCAATTTGTTGGATAGTGATTTGTTTTTGTCGAAGAATTGTGGGAAGACCCACAAGTGTCAGGGTTGACCATCATATACCCCATTGAAATGGCTATTTTGATACAGGGCTCCCCAGATAGTGTTGGTTTGGATGAAGCATCGCTTGAACTGGTGGTTGGATAGTATTGAACCCACCAAAGGTCAATGCAGCTCGTTTCTTGAGGAAAATAATGAATGAATCATAACCCCCCTTATATATGGTCAAAACATGTCAAAACAATCCATAGATATTGATACATATATATATATATATATTGGCCAAACCAAAACACAATCCCTGACTGGTGTGATTGATGTCCACACATTGTGTCATGGCTGTGTGATGCGCCATCCAACATGGGAAAATAACACAATATCCCTCTGTGTGTGGAACCTGTCATGTTCAAAAGCCACACAATCCTCCAATCATTTACCCTCTGGTAAACATACAAAAAACTATGGAAAATCACCATTTTTAATGGGAAAATCCACTATAAATGGTCATTTTCAATAGCTATGTGACATAACCAGAGGGTATATTTCATTTCTTTTTTTCCCAACCATGTAGAGTTGGTATATGTTCATTCTCCCCTTTCAACAAACGACCACTATCCAACGCAGCTGGCAACCAGGACAGCATTTGTGTGTACTGGCTGGCCATGTACTGGGCCGTGATGACGCTGACCAGTGTGCCTTGCTTTGGAAGCTGGTTGTCATGGAAACCAAGGCACAACATACAGGTGTGGAACAAAAACGTATAATTAGAAAAATGTATGATTATATTTATATGATTATATATATATATACATTATTATATATATACACATGATTATATATATATACAAGATTATATAATATATATATAATATTATATATACATACATATATATATATATATATATATACGTGTGTGAAGAAATAGATGATGATTGTTTATCATGAGGGGCTATAGACTATTTTAACATGTCTACATTCTCGATATTTTTGGGTGAGATTTGTTCATTTATCCTGATCTATCAATATTTACGGTGAATGGGCGGTGGCAGACTCCCTATTTACGGTGATTTCATGGAGAAATGGACCCAATTTCAGGTGAAGTTGATCAAGACATCAGACCGCGCACTTTATTCAGTTCTGGTGTCCTATGCTGATAGGGCGTCGAAGTGTATGGAAGTATGTTTTTTGAGTAAAGGCTTAGTTCCGGTGCTTCATGCATTTATTGGTAAAGCAATATATAATAAACCACCCATATTTTGATATATTTTGGATGGTTTATACCAAGCATTTTATGGTTAAATTTGGGATGGCGGATCCTATGGTTTTACCAACATTCGTCCATTGATCTATTGCCCCTTGGGGATTGCTCAATGACTTGACCATTGTTTTTTGAGGTGTCCGCAAGTCTGCAAATCCAGGGATGAGTTACAAATTGCACATGTGTTTGCCTCTGAAACAGATAAAAAGGCTCATTTATGCAGATACAACACACACACACACAGATCATATAAAAAAATCTAGTGAGTTTTGATCACATTCTTGTCGCTCAAAATACGCTGTGGGTCAAAAATTGAGGCCCTCATCATCCTGAGCTCAGCTGATCCATGGATTTCACGGCTGTTTCAGCTAAGGTTGGCTACGGTGACGTCTGGGTCTTACCGTTTTTTTGCGATCGTTTTCTGCGAACTGACTGGACGTTTGGGTAGGAACAGATAACACTTGATTCTATAGTAGTGTTTTATCATGAGGAGTTGTTTTTTAAAATAACCAAATCATGATGATGGTCATCGCGATGATGTTGATGATGATGATGATGATGGTGGTGATGAATACAAATCTTTCCCCAGCCTGGATGATACTGGTGGACACCTTTTTTTCATTCGCACGCTGCTAAGGTGACACCACAGAACCAACTAGAATACACGGCCCGGACCTTCGGATAGGAGCTGAATATGCGGAGCTTTCCATGGCACCATGGGTCATGGGGGTACCCCAAGTATCTCCAAATTATCCAAGAATATCCAATACCATGACCTCGTGAACTGAAACAACCGGTTGGTGACTGGGAATCTCCCATGACTTCAGAACCCCCCATATAATATCTGGAGAACATGCTTGGAAAAACACGGGTACATCTTAGTCTGAAGGGGGTGATGTGCTTGCATTCACCTGAGATCCTGTAGGAATTTGATGATTTATGTGTCTCGAAGCCAGTCATACAGGCGAACATTTGACGAATGGCACGCAATGTTTTCAAACTAAAGATTAGTGGTTTCCGATATGTCTTATCTTTGCCTGGGAGAATGATCCCCCATATCCATTCATATCTCATCATATCTCATATTTTTTCTGGATGAGTGGAAAACCCCAAGATCCATCGAGGATTGGGGCCCGTGTCATTAACTTAAGATAGGTATATGATCGCCCATGGTACCCCCACACGACGTACGCAGATGTGTGACTACAAAACGGCTTCGGTTTGTTTGCTTGAACTTGCTTAAACTCAACAAACAGTCAGTTGTTGGCGAAATCCTAACTCATGCTAATTACTTGAAGTATCATGATATCATATTATATCATATAATATCATATCATAATATCATCTTGTTTTCAATCCCTTGTGGATTTCCCCAAGCTTTCCTGTCCTTTAAATCCAGGGTCAAGTCCCTGGCTTTGTCCAAGGTCTGTGCCATCATGATGATGTTCAGCGGCCTGGTGTGGGCATACATTGTCGGCTTCTGCCTCAGCAATGCTACCTCCGAGGATATTTCAGGTAACACTAAGAAAAATCATCAAAAATCCCGGCTAGATCATCAAAGGAAAATCATGGAACATAGCTAGGTGATACTAGGTGGGTGATCAAAAATCTGGACATGTTTTTTTTTTCCCATCGACACCACGCCATGCAGCTTCCCCCGTTAATGTGTGGCTTTGTTTGAAGGTACTACAATGTTAGTAAAGCAATAATAAACAACCCATATTTGATGGTTTATATCACACATTGAAACTTTGGGGATGGTTTACGATTGCCTAACATTACCTCATACTCCAGTGGTTCATCAGAAGTGTTCACCATACAAAATGGCCCATTTTTGCGGGATATCCCCCATTTTAAGGCACCCAGAAGGGATGGATCAAAACCTCTTGGGGTGACGAAGCGAGGCGGTGTTGACCATGTTTTGACTCAGGCATATCTCCATTTTCGATCATATCCCCATTCAATATTATTGAATATCTCCATGAATATCTCTATGGGTTGATACATACAAATCTATACATATACATATATATATATATATAGATGTATTCATAGAATTATACTGTGATATAAGTGATATACCCCTAAAATACGTTTTTTTATCCACATTTCTCCATGAAACACAACGTCAAACGTGTAACGTCCCAGGTAGTGTGGTCTCGTTGATTCACACCATGGATACCTCTGTGACTTGGATCGGCGATCCGCCGGCCATTTTTTTTGGGTGACCAGCCGGGAGGAAAACAACATTACGTGTATATTAGTGTGATCCAATCATTGTAACCATGTATTTTATATTACAGTATACTATTATATATATTATATAGATATTATTTTACAGTATGATATTATATATATATTATTTTACAGTATGATATTATACGTATATATATATTATATTACAGTATGATATTATATATATATTCATATTATTATATATATATATGTTTCATATGATTCATATTTGTTTTTCTGAATGTATCACATGTATATATTATATTGTATTATGTACATATATATATATATGCATATCTATCTATCTATCTATATATATATATATATTATACACATATGGACCAGATGATTCGCTCCAATTGACAGGCATCTTAGCATGAGTCCATTAATCATTACCATTAACAATTTCCAACTGTTTGTCACAAGGTATTCATCAAGATAGTGCCTTTATGAAAACAGTGCCTTCATCTTTTCGTACTGCGTGTTTTTTTGGTTGCACCCAAATCTGACATGATTGTTGATGTAAACATATTACATGCTTTTTGCACAAATGGTTTGGTGGAGCCCCAGAAGAGCAGGTGGATGTAGATGCGGTTAAACAGCCGGTTTGGGCACATTTTGGCATTTTGGGCACTCAAACTGCAATCCACCATTGTTGTATGGATTTATCCACAATGTGATAATGTTGTCTACACTTTTAGACCATACGCAAGTCACATCTCGCCAAGTGCGCGCATTCCTGACGGTGCCAGGGCTCCTCTACAGTAGGGGTTTTCTAGGGGTCCTGCCCGGCGTTTCGCATGTTTCGCCCTGCTGGAGGTTGAATTCAAACAGAACATGGATCAAATGAACGAGATGATGGAATCACGTGGCTTGCCCACTGAATTGCGCGTGCCTTGGCTCTGCAGATGATTGAAAATGGCGGACCCAAAAGGAGAGGTGCAAAAGCGTCTGTTTTGTCTTGGAAGATCAAACCATAAAACCTGGGATCAACTGATCAACCACCCAAAACTGTGGACATTTGGGTTCTAGCTACAAGAATCAACTAATATAAATAATGTACTGATCGTTTCAAAGCTGTTTCACCTTCACTTTCTATCCATCTGGATCTCCGCCCCAGATATCCCCCGAGATCTTTCCACGTTTTTCGATCCAGGTGCGAATGCGGCGTTACATGCACGAGTGTGTGGTGGCCAGACACCAAACCGCGCAGGTGGCGTTACCCCTTCGGGGGGTCAGGGAGAAGGGCGCAGGAGGAGTTCCACTGATCAATGGATTGGTTTGAGAAAAAAATCACCGGAAAACCCGCATGATCTTAATTGGAAAATACCGATGGTTTTTGGTTAAGATTTTATTCCTTAAACCAATCCATTTGAACTTATGAACTTAGGACAGCAATGTGTTTCGTTTTGAATAAGCCATCTAGAACTGGGGGAAACGTATGGTTGTTACATGTTGTTACCTACAATGGGATGTAGCCCCAGGCATTTGGAATTCTCCAATTGATATAGGAAGAGAGCTTGGGCGCAGCCTTCACAGGGCTTCCCAGTCTCAACCTTTTCACTGATAATTAGTGGTTGAAGGCTATGTGCAATACACTTGTTTACTATTAAACAATAAATTATCTATATAGAAGTGGGTTTTCACTGAGTGCAATGGTGAGCCCGCAAAAAAGGAGCACATGATGGAATCATCGAATTGGCAGAAGTGGGGCGTGCACTCTCATGCAGCAACATGTATAGTTGGTTGTTCTACCTCATATACTTGGTCTTGTGAAATCGTCTGCAACATTCCAGGTATCGGCACCGGACGATGTCAACTTTCAATATGTCTACACTCAATGTTATAATGCGGTAAACCGTGGTGTAAACCATGGTAAACCATGGTAAACCCATAAACCCATAAGTTTACCAACCATAAGTGATCATTTAACCCATAAACCATGGTAAACCATGGTAAACCATGGTAACCCTTAAACTGGTGGTGCTTTCTACAAGCCAAAAGCCAGTTCCTGGCAGGAGAACTTGCTGCGCAATACCATTTCCCAGGGCTTGCAGCGAGAAGTGGCGCGGAGTCGATCACCTCAGTTGGGGCCATGGGTTCCCATGGCACATAGAAATAGATGATTTTAATGATGGTTTACCGATATAAAATGGTGGGTTCCCATGGGTTTTCGCCATAGAAATAGATGTTTAATGATGGTTAATGATGGAACATGGTGATTTGACCCATGGCGAACTGTTAGTCATCACCAATTATGGTATGTTATGTATTCTATATGCGTAGTTATATATTTATATCATATGTGTATATATATGTAATATTATGAATATGAAACGTAATATACATATGCCTCTCCCTCACTTCTATTAAAGTACAATGCTACAATACTGTGTATGATGTTATGAACTTCATTGATTGGTAGTTCGTTCCGGGACCCCGCTTCTTTTCAACATGAGGATGGGCCAAGGGCAACATCCATTAAAATCGCGAGTGAACCAGCATGTGAAGGGACAAACCATCAGTTCAGTGGCAATTCCGATATACCTTGTGATACACAAGTTGAAATAATGTGCCAGGGTGTTCATGGAATGAAAGACTCGCACACCATCGCTGGCTTCGCACGAAAAATCTCAAAAAACCTGCTGACTCCTCAACAAGTGACCTTCCCGTGATTACCGCATAGATCAAATTGGAGAGGTCCATATTACCCTCTGGTAAACTAACATAACTATGGAAAATCACCATTTTTAATGGGTAAATCAACTATAGATGGCCATTTCCAATAGCTATTTTGACATAACCAGAGGGTAACGCGACCATTGATCAGCGACATACATCAGCTGCATAAAATCATCCACGATCATCCGATTGTATCCGATACTATCGTTGGATGAAATAATACCTTAGGCAACCCCCCAAAGTCACTAATAAGTTTGAAGGATATTTAATATCCTTCAAACATAGGTTGGTATATACCTTAAATGCTTTCTATATTTAGAGGGATAAACATATGATATAAATATATTATACGATAATCAACTACGTTCTATATCATATAACATATTTATATATATATATATGTTACTTGTAGTGGTCGTGAAGTGTGCCACATAAAATCAATTTCAATCCGTAGCTCCCAGTCCCGCTTGCACTGAGATTCTCAACGTGATCTTTTGAAGCTGATCTACTGGGCAAAGGACGGCACAGGGCAGACACCCCCAAACAGTTGGTCTCAATGCGTCATAGGCTCAGATAATTTCAATGGGAAATTCAGGATCCTAAAATGGAGGTACTGTACCATATAAGGCCATATTTTGTGGGGATATTCCCTTACAGCCATTGATAATTGGTGAGTTTCTTCGTTTTGGGGGATCATACCTGTTTCGCAGTCGTCAATGACGATTTTTTAGTTTCCAATGGATTCCATAGGACCTATAGCCCTCTAAATCATATCATCTGGAACCATGTCGTCTTGGGGAAATCCAGAAATTGCTGAATTGAATCCACCAAAGCAACATTCCATGAGCTACTCATTTGTCTACTCCATCCGCAGCGCCGGTTCGAGCATCTCTTGGAGTATCTAAAGATCAGTGAACATTTATATCTTGTCAGTTCTTTTAACCAAACAGTTGGATCATGTGATGCACACGTCACGTCACCGATCACTCCTGCTTTTCTTCCCGACCTCCGCGCTGCTCGGCTGCACCCGCCGCGCGGTGCAACAGTCCTACCGGTGAGACGATGTCGGAGATGCGTCAACGACGTGGAGACCGCCCCACAGAGACTGAGGACGGGCAGCTAATGCTAACCCAGGATTTACAAAGGGGGGTACCAATTTGAATAGTATATTAATTATTATGTATCATTTATCAATTTCATCATAGTTTATCATAATTTATCATGATTTATCACTATTTTGGGTTCAACCCCCAAAAAATATGACCTTTTTGAAGATCTGTGGAATGTTTCCGCAGCAGTTCCTCCATGGGAAATCATCCGGAGTCGGAGTATATTGATGTTGATGATGGAATTTACCAGATTGGTTATTCAAGGCGGCTAGATTGTTTGGAGAGTTGGGAAACATGTCTCACTCTACTAAGATACAAGTACAAGGAGATGTTTGTCTCAAAATAGTGGACACCCCAATCTATTGACATTCAACACTTGGACAATATGATGAATCATTGGATGTGTTTTTTTCCAATCAACAACATTTAGCTATATACCAATCAGAACCCTGGTGCTTTGCAAGCACTAACGGAGCTGCTTGTTCAGGATGATCGTGCCCCTAAAGATGGGGTCATAGGTTTGTAAGCCACTCTCATTTATATGAGCACCTAGCAAAATTGTTGGCTGGCAACTTAAAGTAGGGGATGCATCAACGGATTCCATTTGTTTGATTTGGATTGTAACAACGATTCAGGGACCAACATGGATTTGCGTCAAAACTCAAGCGCATGGGATGATTTTGGTCATTTGTAGGACACCATTTGAGCTACGCAAAGTATTGCAACATACCAGTATCACCGCTGGAAAAAACCCGAAACAGCTGACATGGAATCTCTAAAGACAACCCTTTCCCTCTAATATTGAACACCCAGTACAAGCCTTGGTTTAATATAGGATATATTGGATATATATATATATGATATATATATATATGATATATATATTATATATATTATATATATATTCATTTTTGGTGCCAATATGGGGTGCATTTAATAGTAGGAGGATGGGATAAATGAGTTTGACAGATGATTCTACCACTGGAAAGGACTACCTCACCCTCACCAGGTTCCCGATGGTTGTTGGAAGCTGGTCCTGACCAGCTATATATAGTGTGCCCCTGCCCCAAGTTCAAGATGTCGTTAACCGTCGTTAACCATGTTCTTCTGATTTACTCTTATGTAAATATATTATACCCACACTCTATACATATATAATTATGTATAATATATATTTATATATCTATATATGTATATACATACACATGTATATACTACTTACTGTATGTTGACAGTGGGTCTACAAGTCTTACACATGGGACTATAAGGGAGGCGTGGGAAAAAAATATCTGACTACTTTAAGACTTTAAGCTGGTGCTTGGACCCCCAGGGGCAATCCAGTGCTGAAATACAGCGTGCCACTGGGCATGCTTCTGGGTCTAAAAGAAGTACCCTCTGGTAATTTAACATAGCTATTGAATTATTGAAAATGGCTATTTATAGTGGATTTTCCCATTAAAAATTGTGATTTTCCATAGTTATGTTAAATTACCAGAAGGTAAGTTGTTTTTTGCACTGAAGTTCATCACTCTTGGGTGATGATTTTGGTTTTTCGCGTCCGACAATTAGACCCAACCAATCCACCAATTCATGACCCAATGCTCCGTTGTAGCAGGAATAAACCACATTTGGAGCGGGTAGAAAATCATCAATCAACCGCTGCTTCAACGCATCAAACACCACTTCATGGTTTGTTGAAGATGTGGAAAAAATGAAAAGCTTACTTAGACTTAGATGGGCAATGCGAAAACCGCCATTCCTGCATGGTTAGTAACTGGCGTTATAAACTACAAATCCCAATGAAATAAAGCATTTACATGCATTTACTAACTAGTTCATTAACTCCATGTCCCATCTAAGTATGTCAAATCACCATAGGGTATACCCTCTGGTTATTTAACATAGCCATGGAAAATCCCCATTTTTAATAGGTAAAACATCTACAAATGGGCCATTTTCCATGGCTATGTTAGTTTACCAGAGGGTATATGTCATTTTTTTCCCATCATGATTATCCCATGACAATCCCACTAAATCCTATGAGTTTTCCCCACACTTTTCCGACCGCCCTGGCTCAGGAGGTCGCAGAACGCCCAGGTGAATGGAGCCCAGAACAAAAGCAGCAGGTGGAGGAGAAGTTGGCGTCCCTCGGCACGGGGAAAAACCATGGAACTGCTTAGATGGGCCATGGAGTTAGTTAACTAGTTAGTAAATGGATTATAATTGGGATATAGGGGGCTATATCCCCAGTTACTAACCATTTAGCTAATCCCATGGCCCATCTAAGTGGGATGTTTTGGGTAGACGGCAAGCCATATGAGGTTTTCCCAAGTCAGGGGGGATACCCCCAGTTATCATCCATTTTAGTCGGATTTTCCATGGAATAAACCATCCAGCTAGTGGGGTACTCCCCATTTCAGGAAACACCCATTTTTGTATATTTTGAGGATTCATCATCATTTTTCGGATGGAACTGGTCATTTGGGAGGTATATACGGTATACCCCAGGTTCAGAGTCACCCGTGGAAGGCTATAATTGCATGATTTGGGGTGATTTAAGGGATATTTTCGGGCCATGATTTTGTTTGGATAATTATAGATGTAACTATATAGCATGGATGAACTATGGCAGCTTTGCCCACTGGTCGCGAATTGAAATTGGGGTGCGTCTAGGTCCAACAAAAAATACTTAATTTCATCCAAACACAGGGATATGACCGAAAACAATGGCATGAATAATCAAAAACAATATTGACTTGCGTCAAAGGAACGCTAGTGAGACTAAGTTCGACTATACTGCCAAGAATGGGCATTAATGAGCGGAACTTAAACAAATACAACATGGCTGGGATGAACCACATGTTGCATACTCTCCAAACTTGACTTCCCAAGAACGCCAGCGCATAGTGGATTGGCCAATGGATTCTCTACAATTGGCCAGTGGGTTGTGTCCACTGATCGAGTTTCCCATTTTGGAACAAACGTCTACCAGTCTACCAGAAAGCAACCAACACCTCTGTGCGCATATTCTTCCATTGTTTAGTATTCGAGTGAAATGCTTTTTCAGTGGTTTTTGCACCTCCAGATGCAGGCGCTTTCCCAGAAAATTCCCTTAATGTACTCTCTGGTAATCGAACATGGCTGCTGGAAGATCCCCCATTTAGTTCCATGATTTTCCGAGAAATGTTCCCATTTAAACTGTAAACTGCATTTTCATAGGGGATTTTGCAGCCATGTTTGATGACACCAGAGGGTCTTGGGATTTTGTGTTGGTTGTGCACCCTCATTTTGCTTGGTGACACGCAGACTCCCCAATGCCATGTGAGGTCGTTGATGAAGTCCATGAAAGGGATCCTTGTCAGCTGAGGGTGGAATACACAAAAAAAGAGATTCCAAAGATCTGGAGTCCACAAATATGGGGACTTGAAGCAATCTTGAACAGCACGAAGGCTTTCGATATTTCATGTGCCTGTCAGCAGGATCCATCCGCTGTGCGAATATTTCCAGCCTTTGATTTTACGGTGATCAGTCGACGACTTTGAGGAATCCAAAGCCTGGCACTTCAAACGAAGCGAAGAAATTCAGGGATGAATTGGCTGAGGAGACCAGAATGGCATTGTGTTGGGTCGTTTACCATGCGTTTCCGGTATATTTAAAAAGTGTGACTTTTGAGAAGGAAAACACACATCTGAACGCTGTGGCCTCAAATGTAAAGGCAGTTGCTTTCCCATGTGTCATGCTTTCTCAGAAATCCAATGGTATCCTGGTGATGTTTCCATATTTATGCTTATTCCATCTTATTCCCAGTAGTGTTGAGGGCCATGAACTTGAAACCCTGAATCAGCTATGTGATCATTATGCGTGTTTTCAAGTTCCAAAGATCCTCCTCAGTTATGGATGTTTGTTTTCCGCTTAAGCTAAGCTTTTTAAAGACCCTGTTCTCTTCCCAATTTTCGCGGCCTTATGTCCAATATCCAATCATGTTCCTGAATGTTCAATGAAACAACCGCTTCCTGTAAACTCCGCTAGGGGGTTGTATCTTTTCTTTTTCATTTTTTGGACTTTTTGTTTTTTTTGATGATCACCTCAACATGGTTCCGAAAGATTTCCCAATGGTTGGATGACGGCTGCAGGATCCCTTCAACCTCCAGGCCATCTTCGGACTTGGAAAGGCCTATGCTGCAGATGAACAATGGGAACGATGCTGCAACGTTTCTTGGGTGGGGCGGTGTGAGTTCCGCAACGCGCCAGTGATGGTTGTGAGTTCCCCTGGCAAACCTCGCGAGCATGGTTAAAGATGTTGGGCCCCCTCAACTAGAAGGGGTACTCGTACCTAAGTTTGACCAGACCCAAAACTGTACCCGATACCAGATGATTCAATCCAGCACATGTTTTTTTCTTGGAGCGTTGGGCACATGTAAATCTGATGTTACAAGGATTTTATGGTGGTTTTGTGGGGATATAACATAACCAACAATATCCAACACTAGCATCCAACGAATTTGGCGCTTGAAGCGACGGTGCTTGATCGGCACTGTCACTGCCCCATAGGCCCAACAAAGAGGATCATGATCCACACATTACGCATAGTTATGGTTCATGTTTGACGCGTTTAAACCACCAAGCAGATCATTTTCATGGCTTGAATCCCCTGGTTGGTTCTGGTTGGATATCCATGGATATCCCCAACATATCCCATCATTCTACCATCATTTCTTCGGTGGTTCGCTGGCGAAAAATCAACCGTCCCCTTGGATGATTGGGCTGATTGGGGTGACTACTATCCCCCGGCCAATATTTAAGATGGAAATCTCACAGATTTACATCTTCCAGAACAAAGAAAAATCCGTTGTCATTTGGCGCCACAAGTTTGATGGTTAGATCCCATATATTTGCCGAGGATGTGTTTATATGTGTTTATATGTGTTTATAATGTGTTTATATGTGTTTATATTTCAGCATTCTGGTCAATCCACCATTTGGAGAATACACTAAACAAGTTTAGATCCAAAAATGGACCCTTAACGAAGCGCGAATCTTTAGGGATCTTCAGTTTATGCTTAGATCCGCCGGCTGTTTCGGGTCTCAGGTCATGCTCCGTGGCTTCAAGCGCGTGGGCGTGCAGTCCTCAGACAAAACTCGTTGATTTTGGTGAAATCTGGTGGCTCAATTGTTAGTTCCTGGCTACCAGTTAGTTAATGGTTTATTAACGGTTCATTAACGGTTAATTAATGGTGAAATCGTTGTTTTTCTTTCGTGGTGGCTAAAAGGTTCTAGACGGATTACAATTACTGGTGGCTAAAAGATTCATGTATTGTGTAGAGGGGAGGACCTTGTAGCATCTTTATGACCCATACATGGGCCTAAACATTGAATTTAAACTGAAATGATTCTAATTAGGATGGTTTTGAATACACACGCAGAGACACCATATTCCACCATATTTCGAATGCTTTCATGCAAATATGAGTTCCTTTACGGCCCATTTATGGGCAAGGTCTGCTGTGCAGGAGTAGCATATGGCCAAGCAACCCAGTGAGTTGGGTGTCAAACTGTTGTTTGACGTATGGGTAAACCTTTTATGTTGGCAGCGCTCAGTTCTGAGCCTCTAGTATGAATTTATTTGTTTATTTATCTATTCAACTATATATATTTATAATATACATACACGTACATATGCATAGCCGTATAATTACATATGTTACATATGTTTAGCCGTATAATGCCGTATGGCCTTAAAATAACGTATAGAATTGCTGTACGAATGCATCATCGTGAAGGGTAAGTCGTTGCATTCAACCTACCCCACCTGCCAGACACCCAGCAGGGGGCTATCATGATGTGCATCCCAGCTTCCGAATGGTTAGTACCGCTTAATAATCCAAGACATGTCCATATCTAGTATCGAAATAATTCTAAATATCAACTTTAGAAAATTTTGTAACTGGGATCTATGCTAATTATATCTAATTATACTATGCAACTTACCATACATGTCTATGTCAATGGATTGGTTTAAGGGAAAATCTACAGGAAAGCCCTATATTTGATGGTAAAAACCATGGTTTCCGGTGTAGATTTTCCCTTAAACCAATCCATTGAGTCTATGTAATTCATACATTACCAGTAACTTCTGGTTTAAACTCCTCCGCCAGGAATTGGAATCCAACGAGGATCGCTTCGAATTCCTGGCCACCTTGGCGAAGGCGAGTCGGACGATGGACTGACTATCTTTGGAATGTGGCTATGGATCAATACCTATATAGATACCATTTTTAGTGGGTTATTCACATCCATAAATCCCAGCTATGACTTGATGTGAACAGAAGGGGTACTATTGGTTTTGACACACTGCCATGTGGTACCAACATTGGATTTACTGGGCTTTACTGGGGGTTACTGGGATGTTTAATGGGAATTCATGGGATTTGAGTTGGGATTTAATGATTTTAATGGGATTGAGTTGGGATTGAATTGCGACAGTCAAGGGGATGGCTCAATCTCTGGATTTTGAGGGCTTGTGAATTTCTAACAACGGCATTTGTAAGGGTTTATGAACCATCCATTTTTCGGCCGTCCAGCTTTGGATATGGATTTTGGTGTGAACGACGGGATATACATTTTTCGTCTGTCAACCCATAATATGTTAAACGTGTTTACGTTTTTGGTTTTTGCCACATCATTTGTTTGTATCCCCAATGCTCCATGTATGGTATATCTGCCAACATTTACCCCCGAAGTGACCCTTAAATGTAGGTGTAACTATTCCATTAATATGAAGCATATTAGGGTATATCATGGTATATCACATACTCGTATCTTATGTCATAGAAAAATATAAGTTCCATAAACATGGTATACATTGGGCATGAAAAATCCCCTCCATGACTTCAGTGTCTTCAGTGTGGAGCCCGTGGCTGGAGGCGTCGATGAATTTGGAGAAGTGACGTACTGAGTTTGCGCCAAGTGGTGGCTGAAATTCTTTGTGATTTGTGATTTGATGACATTTGATGTTCACATATGTTCACTGTAAGTATGACTTGTAGTCATGAAAACTACATAACTATCATAAAATCAATATCATGTCGAGTGTGCAGTATAAGTTCATTACAGTAAATGACATGCTATGTATATATATATATATATGATTGGCTCTGAAATTATTATGACTTGAATTCATGAGTGAAACCAACATTAAAATGTTCCCAAGTGATCACCATACATACATAGTTGTTTGTGGCATTGGGATTCCCACGTTAAGACATTATTGAGGAAGTATCCTTATCAACTATCGGAAGAACCATTCTTGTCAATCATTAATACATTAACCACTATTAACCATTAACTATTAACAATCAATTAACAATTAATTAACGATTGACTAACTATTATATAGTTAACTGTCAATTAGTCATTGGTTAATCATTAATTAACCGTTAGCCAACCATTAATTAACCGTTAATGAACCGTTAGTAAACCATTGGGTAGCCAGGAACTAACAATTGACTATAACCATTAATTAACCATTCACTAACCATTAATTTAACTAACCACTAACTATAACCATTAACTAACCAATAATTAACCATTAAATAACCATTAACTAACAATTAATCAACTTTTAATTAGCCGCTCATTAACCATGAATCAACCATCAATTAACTATTACAAGTAACTAGAACCATTAACTAACCGACCGTCAATTAACCATTACCTATAACAATGAATTAGCCGTTAATCAACCGTTCATTAACCATTGATTAACCATCGATTAACTAACCATTAACTATAACCATTGTTTGACCATCAACTAACCATCAACTAACCATCAACTAACCATTCATTAACCACTAACTAACCAGTAATTAACCATTCATAAAACTCGTTGATCATGGCTTTTCACTACACAGAAGCCACGGTCCGGCCATGGTTATTAGCTCCGGCGCTGTCCTTGAGGTTTCGGCAGGCCCTGGCGGTGGTGAATGACATGACAGAGCCGGAGGACAAGGATGACCTGCGTGGCTTGAACTTGATGCGCACCCAGGTGGGTCTCTGGGAAAACATGGGAAGCGACCTGTCGCTGTCCTTTTGGAAGTTGAGTGGTTTTTGTTGGGGCGTGACTCAAGGGCAATGGTTTCAGTGAAAAGTCTTGGAAGGGACTCAAGTGTAAGATCGGACTTATTAATACTTATTATGACCTATTGCTGAAGCCCGTGAGTTCAACAAGTTGAGTCAAACGACACGCCAGTTGTCGATGAATCCGAAGCAACTCTCGAGAACACCCCCTCGAAAAGCAGAGGGCAATTCTATGCAAAAATACCGGGGATAAGATGAGTTGTTTTCTTATTCCAAGGTATATACTATGACTTCGTATGATTTCTTTGGTTCATGGGTGTGTCCAATTGCGTGTGGATGTGCCCCACATATATCGCGTCCAAGGGTCCATTTCAATGCCAGGTCTATTGCCATAATGGAGACCTGCAGAAAGGACTCAAGGTTTTGCTTGGGGCGGTTGGGTCACACCGCTGGGTCACTGCGAACTACCAAAAAACGGAAAGATCGGCCAGAAGTGGTTGTTCATGTCTATGGGGTTATATAGGTTTGACCTGGTTTTACTATACTACCATTTCGAAACAATGGACTTATTTTCGACAGTATTTTTTGTGAGCTGCCTGGAATGATGGACTTCAAGCGGTGAGCTGTACCCGTCCGGGTATCCCCCTGGCTGTGATGTGACAGCATGGCACTGTGCTGCAATCTTCGGACGGTATAGCTATATTTCATATATGTCATACAGGTGTTGAGTCAAAACCTATACAAAAAAAAATCAAAACAAAACAGAATAGGCTGATTTATTTGAATCGAAACCCTATGAAAACCTATGAACACCCATTGAATCAAAACCTGGTTTCATATTTGGGGAAGATGCAGGGCACCGGACCTTCACGTTGCCATGGCTTCGCAGGCCTTCAATGCTTGCATCGAGGGCAGCAGCTTCCAAGACGCGGTGAAAGCTTGGGCGGCCTGCAGTCGAGGATTGAAACAGGCCATTCGGGGAATGTTGGTAAAACCAGTGGAAATCTTCCAGGAAATGTCATTATTTGCTGAAATATACTCCTAGATTTGAGCAGACTGATCTTCATTTGTCAATGCAGAGGGTTGTAATGAAAGTCATTTTTATGCTGGCCGGACAACTGGCCCGGAAAACTTAATGCGAGTGACTTTTGATGACTGTTGGTTGGCGGATTCCAAGACCAAGACCCCCACTGCTGGATGCATGGATTGTCTGCTGGATGCTTCTCCAACTGGGCACAGTGCTCCTTTGGACCATCATTGCCATCATCCACTATTTGGATGTGCATCCCAATTTGCAAGTAGTTCATAAGCCATATGTATATCTTATAACCCGTATATTTATTGGGGAATGTTGGGCATACTTCACATATTAGTATGGTACATGATATCTGGTTGGTGGTTTGGAACATTGCTTTTATTTTTCCATATATTGGGAATGTCATCATCTCAACTGACGAACTCATATTTTTCAGAGGGTTAGGTCAACCACCAACCAGGTATGGTACCCTCTGGTAAACTAACATAGCTATTGAAAATCACTATCTTTAATAGGTAAATCAACTATAAATGGGCCATGTTCAATAGCTATGTTAGTTTACCAGAGGGTACACGGTATTTATTGCACATCATTTCCGAAATGGGATGCACCCCAAGGTACCACACATGACCCGGCCATCGCATTGGCGTCCCAGGTGAACGGCTGGGGCGTGACGAAGAATACGATCTTGTGGCTTAGCTGCGGATGGAACACTAGGAATCGCACAATGCCATACAAACTACAAACAATTCACAATAGTTGATAGTTTGATACATTTGATCTGTGTTAATTGTGTGTTTCTGATTTGTCAATAGTTTGTCTGGTTTCTAGTTGGTCGATAGTATATGCTAATGTTATATTTTTGAATTTATATCTTTTAAACATGTTGTCCGCAACCTTAACATTCGCCCAGACTCATCATTGTGGCATAGCAGAGACAATTCTGTGTTTCTGGGAAGTTGCAAATCCAAGCAAGGCCAAGGGGGAAAATTAGGCCACGGTGGCATGTGAAAGATACCTTGAATACAGTTATCTTCATGAGGAAACAATATCACCTGATCATCATGAGGGATCAAATCCGTCACCCTCTTTGACCAATATGCTGAACGGGCTAACAACACGCCACACCCTCTATAGCCAGTATGTTGAATCGGGTAATTACATCAACATTATCTTTATGAGGGATCAAATCCGCCACCCCCTATGACCAATATGCCGAACGCCACCTCCTCAGAACAATATGTTGGTTGGGGAAATAATATCAACGTTATCTTCATGAGTCATGAGGGATCAAAATTAGCCACCCCCTCTGAACAATACGTTGATTGCGGGACATCAACTCCGGGCAAACGTCCAGGTTGCAGCGAACATGTTTCTACATTTTTTTTTTCCGCAGATGTAGCCCTGGTGCATAGTGCACTGTTCAGCTCATCCCCATCCAAAATAAACATGACAGCAGCATCAGCCGCTTTTCGCGGCGCACCAAGGAAGTTGGCTGAAACCGAGGAGGAAAAGAAGCAGTTGGAATCCATCGACAAGCTCTGCGAGTTCAAGGAGGGTCCTCTCCTCACAATCGCTGTACATGGGCACCCCACTGAGGGCGGGCGATTCAACTTCTTGATTGAATTAGCCTAAAAATGATTAAAAAGGTCATGGTTGTGGCTGGCTGGAAGTATTAAGAAATGGTGGAGATTTTGCACATTGATCTCTGGTGGTTGTCAGTTGCGCCTTCCAACCCCCCCAGGGGTTCATATGCCCCACCAAGCGCAGGAGGTTCAGGGTCTTCATGGATTTTTGCCGACTTTATCCAACTAGCCCTTCATAGCCTCTACGAACGTCCCAACTTCATGCCTTGCTGTTCAATGTGTTTCTTTCTGTGCCAGGATGATGTGCACAAGCTGCAGACCACCAAGACCATTTCGGATCTGCGCCTGCCACTTGTCAGAAAAACATTCCACTGCAGGAGGAGCTCGGTTCTACCTCTGGGGAGCGGAAGAAAAACATGTGGCTATGTATCAAAATCCTGGGACCCTAGGTCCTAGGTACCCTAAAATAGCTGGCTAATGGATGTTTAGTCCCCCAAATATGGGCCATGATTCCATGATAGGTTTTGACTCCTCCCCTTGTGAGTATCTTCTTTTTTGCTTGGTGTCAATTTAAATACTCAACGTTCCCCATGATGTCAGGGGAAGATTCATCAGGTCAACTCACCTGGCATACCTGGACCATCCTGGACCATCCAATTTTGCCGCGCTTGGCTGTGTCGATTTTTCAGGTGGTTGCTGACTGGCTTCTTGGTGTTTCTCGCAACTTGGCCCAGACCTGGTGTCGGCGTCACATCCCCACTATATATTTTCCATGCACATCCCTGATATCCCCATGATATCTATCCGAATTCATATGGCAGTGTGTCGAAACCTTGTACCCCTGGTGAACATCAAAATAGCTGGTAAATGGATGTTCATTCCCCTAAAAATGGTATTAATAGGTATTGATCCATACCCATATACCCCAGTCACACAATCACAGCCACACTCCTCGCCCTGAGTTGGTCGTTCTGATCAGCATCCTCTACTGGTTTGAGCAGCGAAACCTCGCTCGCATGGAGTGGAGAAAGTGACGAAAACCCCTCGGCATCGTGCATTGCAGTGTGAGCGTCACAGAGGTTACAGGTGCAGCGTGAGGCAAAGCTGTGACGATTGGCTAATGAAACAGGCATTGGTGACAGAATCGGGGAGCTCAAAAAGCTTAGAGACAACATGATTAACATGTCTAGTTTAGAGGTTGGATGGGATTCTAGAGGAATCCGTCCTCACAAACCCTGACTGTCAAATGCAGTCCACACCATGTTTTTGGAACTTGCTCGAATTGTTTAACAGGTTGCAAAAGCTTAAGGTGACCGAGGTATTGAGGTCCCCAATTTTGCAGACATGGCCAACAAATTTGACCTTCCAGCGACTGGGTTCGGATGATCTCAGTGTAGCCCCAAAATCATCCATGGTCCATGGACGTTCAATTCTAAGCCATTCATTTTAGGGTACTGTACCCCATTTATGGAAACCCCAATTTTTCTTATCAAGGTGATAGAGCAAGAGAACACCTCCAACTTTCATGTTTCAGGCGTTTGCGAGAGGGATTGCAGTGACAGCGATGGGTTCTGTTGATGCGGGATGATCAACCATCGATTTATGTCCTGTACTCAGTGGGATAGTAATCAATGAAAAGAATAATTATAATCAAGGATCAAGACGTTAGGATTGAAACCCTCAACTGCCCTTTATCATGATGCTGCATTTTCCAACATCCAGCAGACATCTCCCCATCAGATTGCCATTTCCACTCACAGAATCATTTTCCAAGCCCAGTTCTTTTTTCTAAGCTTACCCGTTTACCAAAAGGCAAATCAGTGAAGAGACTTTGAAACGGACCAACATATACGAACATCATCATAACATCATCATAACACCATCATAACATCATCATAACATCATCATAACATCATCATAACATCATCATAACATCATCATAACATCATCATAACATAATCATAACATCATCATAACATCATCATAACATCATCATAACATAATCATAACATCATCATAACATCATCATAACATCATCATAACATCATCATAACATCATCATAACATCATCATAACATCATCATAACAGCATCATAACATCATCATAACATCATCATAACATCATCATAACATCATCATAACATAATCATAACATAATCATAACATCATCATAACATCATCATAACATCATCATAACATCATCATAACATCATCATAACATAATCATAACATAATCATAACATAATCATAACATCATCATAACATCATCATAACATCATCATAACATCATCATAACATCATCATAACATCATCATAACATCATCATAACATAATCATAACATAATCATAACATCATCATAACATCATCATAACATCATCATAACATCATCATAACATCATCATAACATCATCATAACATAATCATAACATCATCATAACATCATCATAACATCATCATAACATCATCATAACATCATCATAACATCAGCATAACATCATCATAACATCATCATAACATCATCATAACATCATCATAACATCATCATAACATCATCATAACATCATCATAACATCATCATAACATCATCATAACATCATCATAACATCATCATAACATCATCATAACATCATCATAACATAATCATAACATCATCATAACATCATCATAACATCATCATAACATCATCATAACATCACATACATCATCATACCAAATCATAACCTAACATAAACTAAGTCAGAACATCATCATAACAATCATAATAACATCATCATAACATCATCATAACACATCATAACCATCTCATAACATCATTCATAACATCATCATAAACATCATCATAACATCATCATAACAGCATCATAACACAATCATTACATCATCATAACATCATCATAACATCATCATAACATCATCATAACATCATCATAACATCATCATAACATAATCATAACATCATCATAACATCATCAAACATAATCATAACATCATCATACATCATCATAACATCATCATAACATCATCATAACATCATCATAACATCATCATAACATCATCATAACATCATCATAACATCATCATAACATCATCATAACATCATCATAACATCATCATAACATCATCATAACATCATCATAACATCATCATAACATAATCATAACATCATCATAACATCATCATAACATCATCATAACATCATCATAACATAATCATAACATCATCATAACATCATCATAACATAATCATAACATAATCATCATAATAACATCATCATAACATCATCATAACATCATCATAACATCATCATAACATAATCATAACATAATCATAACATCATCATAACATCATCATAACATAATCATAACATCATCATAACATCATCATAACATCATCATAACATAACATAACATCATCATAACATCATCATAACATCATCATAACATCATCATAACATCATCATAACATAATCATAACATAATCATAACATAATCATAACATCATCATAACATCATCATAACATCATCATAACATAATCATAACATCATCATAACATCATCATACACAATCCAACCTCTTACCGAATCACGAGAGATCGAAGACGAGTCGTGATGACTGCAGTCGTCACCACTGAACCCAACCAGCAGTCGCCGCGCCTCGTGGCGACTGACAGCCCTGCGTCGATTTCAACACAAACTCTGCGTCCCACCTTGACGCAATCAGCGGTCCAAAAGGTGCTTAACACCGTTCTGTGCGAAGCTGCATCTGTTACTGGGGAACCTTGAGATTGTAGCTACATGTAGCATGTACCTATGCCCTTAGGCTGTTTTTGCTCCGTGGTGCTGGATTGAGCAACACTCAATGTAGGTAAATCATAGTAAATATACCATATCCATACATATACAGCATATGGATGCACTAACTTGGGTGATTTTGCCATGGCACAAACTTGTGGATTCTTGGACTTGTGTATTGATGTTCGCACTATCCAATATGTGACAAACTCCAATTTGGTAAGGTTTGTATGTAAGCCTCTCAAGTGGTAAAGCAATGGTACTAGTGGCATTTGGGTGTCATGATGTGTCCCTACTTGGCCCGCTCATTCGATATCATGTTATTATTGTGTCATTTGAGGATCCAAACTCTAAACCCACTGGGAAGTTATGATACATAGCTATACATAGCTAGAAAAATATACCTGCCCCTGTTTCCCTTACAGAATCAGGCAGCCAGACCCCCAAAACCAGCGTGATTTTGTAAGGAATCCTCCTTACAACATCATACCCTAAGCTCCAGAATTATGGGCATAGAATCTTAATGTAGGACAGGGCAACAACTGGAAGATGGTTGGTCTCGAATTTGTATAAGGGCAAGACCTCTTGGGGGGGGCTAAATGGTCCCAAATTTAGTCAATTTAAAAGAATTTTGGAGCCAATTGTAGATACTTTGGTGGTTGATGTTGTAAGGATTGATATGTGTCCCATAGATTTTGTATGGTCATTATTATCAAAATATATCAACATATTATATGTCATAATGGTTGATTACAGCCATGCAGAGAACTCGAGGGAAGAAACAATCTTTTGCCAGGAGTTCCCAGACGAGGCAAAGATGGAACTCGTCAAGCGATTTCATCCCACCTTCTTTGGACCTGACGACACTGGGAAGCATAGCGAAGCAGTGATACAATGGAGGGGTCAAGGCAGGCGCCCACATAGCGCTAGGGGCTCGCATGTTCATGTGCTCGTTGCAGACCAGCATGTCCCCCAAGGAAGCAATCATGCTTCGAAAGGCGGGTCGCAGACTGACTGAGAGACGTTGGGTGGGGTAGCATTTTAGCAACAGATGACGCCACTACTTGGGGGCGACCCCCGATCCTTCATCAACCAGTGTTTATTAATCCGGGCTTGACATCATGAGGGAAGGTGTATTTGGTTTTGGACGCTTTGGAGCTTTCCAGTTTCAGAAATTCTCATTGCCAAGATTGGGCAGGACCACTGAGCCACGAAGCCATTGGCAACTCATCACGGTTGTGTCTACCCGAAAGGTCCCAAGCCAGGGCAACCAGCCAGAAGGTAGAACAAAGAAATCTCAGAGCTAAAGGGTTTGCCCAAAATCCAATGACCAGGCAGAGACCAGGCATTTGTTGTTTGGAGTGTTTTGAATTTTCAAATATACCAATTTACTGGTGGCTTCTGATCTCCCATTGTTGTTGGATGATCCCTTTTTAAGAACAAATGCCGCTATCGTTGATGCTTTAACCGATTCACCGGTTCAAATTCATTGTTAAGGATATATATGTTTTACAACTATCTAATAATTTCATCTAATTTCCAAGAAAACAACTTTAGTAGGAGATTGTGACTATTTGAGGGTTACCCCGGACCCTTAGCCAGGGTTGATCCCCGGTTCAAATTCAGCTGCCGCCGTTCGCAGGCCGTCTTAGTGATTCAGAAGGGCATCATGGGGGTGAGGCTTGGAGGGTATACACCTCATCTCCAAAACCGCATACCTAGATCCTCCCACCTATCAAAATGGGGTGTTACAAACTAACATAGCATTTTTGGGGGGGACTTCAGCATTTTTTGGGATTTTGGATGATTTTGGTGGGTCTGGGTATGAAGATTAAGTTGGAAAACTGAGGGGACCTATCCGGAAATCAGCTTTCATTTCAGGTTTTAGTGATTTAACATATTCAAATCAGTGTCTTGGTATCACCAGTTTTTGCCTAGTTGGGAGTAGAATCACCATTCAATCGCCATTAAATCACCAGTTTTTGCCTAGTTGGGAGTAGAATCACCATTCAATCGCCATTAAATCGTCATTTTTGACTAGTTGGTATCCCGCCTTTCATGCTGCCCTCGACAGGGGTCGAGTTCTGAGGCCTTTCCGTGGGGTGAGGTTGGAAAAAAACCTTGAGGATTTATGACATTATAGTAAATTATAATAATTTCTATGCACAATATATATATATAATTATATATGTAAGATATATATATAATATTAAATATATAGTCATATGTATCATTTATTTGCATGTTTAAGCCAGATGATCCAATGTGAATGCTTTGAGGGTGAAGAACAGTACTGCCATGCACTATGCCACTATGCAATGCCACAGCGCGCAAAATCAAAATTTGCTACCCCTGCACATTGGATGGTTTAATGATGTTGATACAATACTATGATACAATAAGATACAATATGATGCAGTACAACATGCCCGTTGAAACCACCTTAATTGAATGTGTTCAACAATTGGATTTACCAAAAAAAAACTGTTTACTCCACCAGAAACCGGAGAAAAACACCCTTGCTTCGCCAGCGCGCCGGTTCAGGCGGGGAGACGTCTTGGGTCTGGAGAGTATTCTCCTGGAAACCAACTCCCTCATTGAGACCTCGCAACCCAGGCCCTGGTCATTGTGGGTTGGTGGATTTAAAAAATTGGCCACTGCAGTCCTTCACAAAAAGCAATCGTGAAGTGAGTTGAGAAATACGTAGTTAAGTTGAAAAGTCACCATTCATTTTTCCTGTTTTTCCTGTTTCTGGTTGCATGGCATTTGTATCCAAAAACGGGAAGGCACAAGCCAGAGCCGAAAGGCGAAGGGAATGATGTCCCCTCAGAGAGCCCATAGAGTTAGGCTGTCGCAGGATATGAGCAAGACCAAACGGGCGTTATCCTGCGCTTTGCAACTCCAGTGGTTTCTCAAATCTGAATGCATCCCAAAATACCCAAATGAACCCCTGATTTTTTGAAAGTTTTTGACAACTTTCAGACTCAATCGAAGGGCCGATGCCAGGACGCTTTCCTACTGCTTCGTTTGCATCTCAGTTTTGCTTCGTTGGTTTCCTGAAAGAATGAGCCTGTATCAGTGGCAAGCAGGCCACTGTATGAACCCAATCAACTATGAAGCCAATCAGCTCTTAGGTTCCTGCGATTGATGCTTGATGATAGTTGTAAACCCACTGGGCCAAAATATGGCCAAAACTGACGCTGGCACAGCTCTGGTTATGTTATGTTTTAAGCCGATCTGGTTGGTGGTTTCAAAGTGTGTCATGTTCATTTGTGTTCACTCCTATTTTGGATGACTGAAACCACCACCCAAAAACATTTCTAGGCTCATCACTATGACCCATCACATTCAGGTGCCCTTTGTTTGGTTGTCCTTGATGTTGTACTGGCCGAATATCGCATGAGCATGACAGGACACATGAACAACAAAACATCATGTTGTAATGTGTGTTCCTCTTGAAATAGCTGTAAGACATTCAGTTTGACTTTGTTTGCTAGGTCAAGATACACTGTACACACACATGCATACTAGATCATATCAAATGAAATTGAAATCCACACGTCATAATATGCTGTGCATATATGATCATTATATATATATAGCTTATATACATATGCATGCACTGTATACATACTCTGCCGAGATCTTCGCATCGTTTCCCAACGGCTTGCGATTCTAGAAAGACGCCGAGGTCATGGTGCTGAAGCGTGACGATTTGTTGGAAGTGGCCAGGGAATTTGAACAGGCTGACCGGCAACTGAGGAGAGCGGGAAAATGTTGGGGATTTTAAGGATGATTTTGGCATGAAATCGGTGAAAGGTGGTGGTTTCGTTGCAAAAATTATCAAAATTTCCAATCCCGGATCCCCCAACTTGGAAGTTTTGGCACATCCAATCTGTTTTTGTCCTCTGGGTGTTTGGCAGTATGATCAACCAGTTCATTTGGGGGTACCCTTTTTGTGGACAAAGTCGTGTAGCCAAAAAATTGGGATTTTCCGCTTCATGGGATCAAAGATGGGTTTTCCAGCCCATGGTTTCGAATATTGTTTCAATGTCCCACCCAATGGAGGATGGAGCCAATGGACTTGGTGACTATTAGTTGTAGGAAGTGAAATTGGGATTTATTTGCCCATCAATTGTGGATTCCCATTGTGGATGACCAGACCATACCACATTCATCCCATCTTTGACCATGGAATACATGGTTTGTCGCCCCAACAAAAATCCATGGTTGCAGATGGTTGCAGTCGTAGTAAAAAAAGATTCATATTTGTGGGTCCAGAATTACCAGATGGGAGAACATGCGATAAGTCCATGGTTCAAGGATGTTCAAGGGCCCATTCAGTACATATATATATATATATATATCGCGGGATAGTTCCTTACGCATGCCTTTCATAAACCTTACATACAATGTGGGCCCCCCCAGTTATAAGTTGGTTTATAAACCCCAGTAATTAACTATGGTTATAAGTAACAGAAACTCTAGTTATTGGAGTTACGTTCACCAACTTAGCTATCGACCGGGGGCCCCACTTTGTATGTTTGGATATGGGTATCCGAAAAAATGGGCCCATTCACCATCTGACTCCACTGGTTCATCATCTTCCCTGAAGATTTATATAGACCCTTCAAAAAGGTACCTCGCAAAAAGGCGATAGTTTGTGATATTTTAATGTAATGGAATGTACTCCTGATTTTGGGACTTTTGCCAATGTTTTCTTCCTTGGAGGGTCTAGGTGTTGCTTATCTACTGAACCTGCGCAGCGCAGAAGCAGCGCGCTTAAGCTCAGAAGGCCCTTGAGTTTCAGAAGAGAAGCTCAAGTGGTTTTAGAATATCGCTTGCTTGGCTAATGTGATAGTATTCATGGGATTTTCATGGGATGTTAACAACTGATTATTAAGATTATATGCCTCTGGGGTCTGGGGTATTAAACAATCAATGGGGATATAATGTCGGAAACCCAATACCATACACCTGCTATTTGGCGATGATGAACATTACCACCCATTTATAGTAATATTATTGGGGATGGTTCATGTTTGGGTTTTGGCACATTATGTTTTTTTGCACCCAACTGGCTGTCTTTATCCTCGGTCAATCCAATATACTACCCATCAAAATGGGTTCTAAGCCCATGATTAGTTCGCTAGACTCATTCAGGTTGCGTCTAACTCTATATCCTTGAGGATTCAGATTGCTGAAAAAAACCCACTATCAGTTCGCTACGAACCCATGGGTTTGTCTGAAATTTGAGTACCCCAAAATTCAGTGGTGTATCATCGTGTTCCCAACTGGAATTGCATTTTTTGTATCCCCCATATTTTGTCAGTGGTTTGGAACACAATCTTTCCCTCATACTTAACGGGCATATTTGAAAAGTATTTAATTTCTATACAAACCCATCACATCCACTTGGGTGTTTCCTAAAATTGGGGACTCCTCAAACCACGGGTTTCAAAAATAGACAAAAAATAGGTGCATTGTTGGGTACGATCTTTTCAACCTTAATTGAAAGCTAAACAAAATTGGGAAACATGCGAAACTGAATCATCCAAACTTGGTCATGTTTGATGGAAAACCAATTGGACTTTTGGGACGCCCCAATGACTAAACATCCAATTCTCAGAAAAGTCATGAATCATATTGTTGTCCCATGGTATAATTCCCATTGTATCCCCATAGAATGCTATGTCTTTTCAATTTCCAGATAAGATCTAAACACTGCCACTACCAATTAAATTTTGCTTGTTAATACATGCACATATAAATATCATGAAATTATCATATCCACCAGGTTACCCATTATTAAATTGCACCCCTGCTCAGTGTTTTTGATTTGTGTTTACTTTAAACGTCTTTAAAGCCTAACAATGTCATGAGTCATGACGATCACATCATGACGACCATATTTTCCTGGGGGTGGTTCAACCACCAACCAGCTACCCATTTCTCAAAAGTGCAGAATCGTGTCCTTGCTGAAGATTTGGTTAATTGTGCTGCTGGTCAATCCACTATGAAGAATCTACTGGAAGCATTTCTTTATTGTGATCCAATTATCATTAATCAGTATGTTAAAATCCTATTCATATTGGTTACTCATTGGTTAATCCTATTAATCAGTATGTTAATCAGTATGTTAATCAGTATGTTAAAATCCTATTCATAAATTACTCATCAATTGCTTACCCATTGGTTCATCCACTGGACATCACTGGACTATGTTGGTTTTTTTTGGGGGGGTGTCCCTCGAGGTAATCACCTGATACCGGAGACTCCGTTCCGCTCAGCTCTTGTGAGGAGAGCGCAGATCCGTGCGGCTGTGCGAAGAGCGTTCCTGACCTCCGCTGCGCCGCTCGTCGGTGGTTTGAGTCGGGTGTTTTGAGTCCGGGATGGGCTGAAGAAGAACAAGTTGGGGATTTAAACAAGCTATCAAATTCAGTTTTAGATATTGTAATTCATCCTTTCACCCTAGAAACGGCCTCCCTTTCCCCAAAGTATAAAACCGCCTATGGGTAGTTTTTGTTATTAGCGGGTATTTAATATTTGCGGGAGGAGCTTGCAGCAGCTTGCCCCTAGTATTAAATTAAACGCCTTAATTAAACAACTTAAATGATTTATGTCAAAATCGATCAAATTCATTTGTAAAATGTAATTAGAATATTGACAAAAATTGGATTTCGATGCTTTACTCGATTTCAAAATCGATCAAATTCCTTTTTAACATCTAAGTGACATATTCTCAAACAAATGGATTTCGAAGCTTTCCTCTAACTTCAATTCACAAATCAAGATTTGTTGATCTTACAAGACGGTCCCTATAATAAGAAAAACACCCCGGGTCTGACTAGTTTCTATTATTGGACCTTGATCTTTGAATTGTTTCCAAAAGATTTCTAAAGGGGGTCAATTAAAAATCAAACTGGCCAATCTGACACTTCCCAAAACGAACAATCTGATGTAGTTTTATTATTGAGGGAGGTGTTAGTAATAGGAAGAAGGGATTAAATGTAAGTGTTATAATTTTGTGATTTGTCCTGCGACACATAAAGGGTGTCCACCTTTGGGGCTGGCATTTGCGCAAAAAGTTTGAAGAGTTTCCACTTGTATATTCTTCAGGATCAAACACTTGTTTGAATTTGGGATTTGAATCCTCCAGTTGTTGATTACAGTAGGATAGAGCATTCTAGATTTTATTAGATTTTATAAATGTATACATATACCTGAACATTTGTGAATAACACATGTGCGCATTCCCATCACCATGAACAATTGCCATGTCTCCCCCTTCCAAGGGCAGAGAAGCAGGAGAGGAAAAACCGCAGCATAAGCAGCATTCCTGACCTTCAGAGAGAACGAAGCAGCCGTAGCATCAAGAGGCCGGCAGAACGGGTTGCCAATGGTCCACCGGCCTGGGGTCGCCTGGGGTGATCTCACAGCGGTTAAAAATCTCACAGAAACATACAGAAACTAGTTGTTTTAGAAGGTTCAAATTTGAGATGAACCCCTGGATTTTGGGGGGCGCAGGGTCAAGATTGAGGACGCAGGTCCACGGATTCTATGTTTTTTTGATTTTGTGGTATCCAACCTCGCTTGCAAAGAACTGGAGCCCCACTCAGCAGCAATGTTGATGAACAAATAAACACAACCACCAGTGTGTAACAACCAAGTGTGAGGATGCAGGATTCTTTCGACCATTTCTTTGACTCCGCGGACTGGAAAATCAATGGAAGCAAGCTCAACAAAGCGCACAGTTGAATATTATTGATTAGTGCATATTATTAGTGAATATTATCATATATAAGTAATATACTATATATATACATATATATATGTGTATACAATGTGGGGCCCCCAAGATAGCTAAGTTGGTTTATAGCTCCAATAACTATGGTTTATGGTACTTATAACTATAGTTAATGGGGTTTATAAACCAACTTATAACTGGGGGGCCCCACATTGTATCAGTGAATATCTAACATAGTAATATATTACTTATAATATGAGTGAATATCATTAGTGATGAGTGCTGAAATTGTCTATTTGGTCAGTATCTAATAGTATATACCCATATTCACATCTCCATTTTTCACGGTTCATTTCCCCAGTCGTCACATGAGTTTCCTGTAAATCAATCCATGGACCGTACCTTTGTTTGCCACCTTCTTTGTGACAAATTCCGGAATTTCATGGTGAAATCCCAATGGTTCTGGTGAATTTCCACATTTTTTCTATCAACAACTGGTTGGTAAAACTCCACATTTTTCCATAAAATAAACGGATAGATCCCAAGTATTTGATGGTCAAAACCACCAATCTTGATATTGGTTGGCTACATCGGATTGTTTTTCTTTGGTCAGTACCCAAATCCCTGGCGAATCTCCATTGGGCCTGGTTCATTTGCATGCTTCATCCGCATGGTTCCCGTTGCCGGTTGGTCCCCCAAAAAAGAGATGTCCATTTGTTGACAGTTAGTGCACAATACTCCTATATTTGCCAATGGTTTGAACAACATCATTTCCATATATTTCCATGTGTTATTGGTTAATCACCAGTATTGATGGTCTAGCCCCACCCCATTTAAGGTTGATATTTGTTGATGCGTAATCAAATCCCCGTTATAATCCCGATAGTTTCCATTGTAATCCCTTTTTTTTCCATCACACTCCTTTTCCTATCATAAACCCAATGTTTCCCATTACAATCCCACTTTTTTTCCAAACATAGTTCCAATATACCATTTGGCTATTTAACATAGCTATGGAAGCCATGGCCCAATTTATAGATGATGAACATGATGATTTGCAAAAAAAAATGTGATTGTCCAGTCTGGTTATTTCACCAGAGGGTATATCTCATTATTTTCCATTATCCAATAATATCCGATTATAATCCCATTATAATGCCTATAAATCCCTGTAAACCCTATGATTTATAGAGGTTATAATCGGATAATCGGATTAACCATTAATCCCTATAATCTATGAATCATTTATGATTTTATGGCTAAACCATAACCCCTATAATCCATTAGCCCCAGGTTTAACCTCCATTTTCTGCACCAAAAGCGGCTCCACTAGGACCTTCACACAGTCGAATCCGCCTTCCTTCTCAGGAGACCTTACTAGGCGCCTTCGTTGGCATGGTGATGGATGGTGGATGGGAACAAGACATACTGGTGATATGCATATGCAGATAGATAATATATATATATATATAAGTGTGTATATATATATATTATTATAACATTATTATTACTATTATTATGTTTTTTTTTTTTAAATATAGTATTAGTATTTATTATTATTATTATCATCTATTTATTTGTTTTTAATATTATCATGATTACTATTGTTATTGTTATTGTTACTGTTATTAATATTACAATATGTATATATATATATATGAGTTTGTTTGACCATGGGGTACCCCTAAAATCAATGGTTGATTATCATTGTTCCATTAAACTGCGCTTGGGGGGTATGAAGCTTTTTTCAGACACCCCTGTCATATGTATATATATATATTTACAATCCTCCTGGGAATTTAGCCTAAAGACATGGGGACTTGAGGTCCTTAAAAAGCTGCATTTTTTAAATGACAGTTTGGCCGGCAACAAATCCAGTTTCATTTTTTAAGATGTATATTGTTGTGTTGACGGTCTCCTATTCCTTAAGAGGCCTTCCTGGGAAGATCCTAGGAACTTGTTTTTTGATATGTTCATCAATGTTTTTGGGATTGTGTGTCAAATGAAAACCAGCTTGCCTGCCGCTTGAACAGATGCTCACAAGCAGAAGACGTGAAGGTGAGATGGAAGATGAAAACGTGATGAGTGAATGCATGTAAATGATCCCCCTTGGAATTTCCACTAAAAAATGCAACAACCGGGGTTGTCGCAAAAAACTTTTTTTAATGCAATAACAGATGATTTTTCCACATGGCTAACCCGGAGTCCCCATTTTTTGCAAAGGCTTCCTAGGTCATGATTTTTTAGAGAGAGCATTTTGAGGGGCAATAGACAAGCTCTTTGAATTTTTGCGATTTGCTAAAACTCTGTTGTGCGCCGGCCATCGTTTGTATCGCAGATGAGCCAAACAAGTTTCAACATTAACAGCACATTTCAACTGATTTTTCAACAAGGACATTCTTCAGGGACGCCGGACTATTGCACATTTATGAGCGTTTGAAAACAGAGCGTTTGAAAATCATATGGTGTTATCCCTCTTGGAATTTTCCCTGGCTAAAACATAAGTCAACCCGGGTTATCAGTTCCCCCTTGATTCTTTAGAGATTTAATTTGGAACCCTAAGTTGAGTTTGTCAATGTTTAAAGTGCTGGCCAAAACATGGCTCAATAAACGCAATCAAACTGAACTAGATATGATAAAAGCAGCAAATTGCATATATTGATTTATACAAATAAATATGTTTATCGTTTTGCAGGGTATAGCTCTAAAGAATCAGACACCAGCTCGAACCCAGTCCAGTTCTCATATCCAGACGTCCCCGGAAATCCCCAAGATCCCCAGGCATAACACCAATTGTCTCTAGAAGATCCATCGAAACCCACTGTGTCCGGAGGTAGGACCTTATTTTTTAATGGCACCCTCCCAAAAAATACCCAAACTGTGAAAAACTGCCAGGTCGACACGCCCTGAGCCTCTAAAGAATCAAAACACCAGCTCAGAAAAAAAAAGTGTTTTGGCAGGACCTGATTCTTTAAGGACACCCTTCCCTGTGTCGGGAGGCAGGACCTGATTCTTTAGTGGCACCCTCCCCAAAATATCCCAAGTTGTAGGGTCGACAGGCCTGAGCCTCTAAAGAATCAAAACGCCAGCTCGAACCCAGTCCAGGTCTCATATCCAAACGTCCCCAGGAAATCCCCAAGATCCCCAGGCATAACACCAATTGTCTCTAGAAGATCCATCGAAACCCACTGTGTCCGGAGGTAGGACCTTATTTTTTAATGGCACCCTCCCAAAAAATACCCCAAACTGTGAAAAACTGCCAGGTTTTGCAGGGTCGACACGCCCTGAGCCTCTAAAGAATCAAAACACCAGCTCAGAAAAAAACAGTGTTTTGGCAGGACCTGATTCTTTAAGGACACCCTTCCCTGTGTCGGGAGGCAGGACCTGATTCTTTAGTGGCACCCTCCCCAAAATATCCCAAGTTGTAGGGTCGACAGGCCTGAGCCTCTAAAGAATCAAAACACCAGCTCGAACCCAGTCCAGGTCTCATATCCAGACGTCCCCAGGAAATCCCCAAGATCCCAGGCATAACACCAATTGTCTCTAGAAGATCCATCGAAACCCACTGTGTCCGGAGGTAGGACCTTATTTTTTAATGGCACCCTCCCAAAAAATACCCCAAACTGTGAAAAACTGCCAGGTTTTGCAGGGTCGACACGCCCTGAGCCTCTAAAGAATCAAAACACCAGCTCAGAAAAAAACAGTGTTTTGGCAGGACCTGATTCTTTAAGGACACCCTTCCCTGTGTCGGGAGGCAGGACCTGATTCTTTAGTGGCACCCTCCCCAAAATATCCCAAGTTGTAGGGTCGACAGGCCTGAGCCTCTAAAGAATCACAACACCAGCTCGAACCCAGTCCAGGTCTCATCTCCAGACGTCCCCAGGAAATCCCCAAGATCCCAAGGCATAACACCAATTGTCTCTACTTACAGATTTAGACCTGACTAAAATCACCGTATATCAACCATCCCAACGACGTGACGCCAGGATGGAAATTCCACCGGACATGACGCCGAGAGATCAGCCGAGAGGCCCTCAAAATGCGCAGGCCATCGTGCCTCGACCCTGGCAGATGGAAGATGAGTTGCCACTAAAAATGGCTGAAAATCTCAGGTCTATGTGAAAAATTACCGGTATACATGGGAAAAATTGTGATTTTTGGCAACCGATGGAATTGTTTGATGAGAACTTGGGATTTTAGCATGAAACAAGTTGGATTTATCCATGCAACCTGGGTTATTTAAGCATGAAACAGGGGGATTTAACTTTGGGGAATTCAACTTTACCAATCGGAAACACATGGATTTAACACTGGATTGTGATGGGTAATTGTATACTCAACAAAACTGGCCTCAGATGTCAAACCCACTATGAAACTCCTGCAGATGCATCCTAAGGCGTACTCCAAATCGGCTGGGCGTTTCTCTCGTGTCAACTTGGAGGACAGGTGGTTGGCTGATTGCGCGAAGGGTTGATAGTGCCAAGTCAGACATTTGGGACTTGAAAGTTCCCTTGTATGTTCTCGAAGACTCTATATAGGTTTATTCGTTATGTTGAGAATTGGCTGCAGTAATATCTTCATGATAACAATCCTTGATATTGAAATACCACTTTTACACACATTGATTTTCGCGACCCATATTAGGGGATATTTTATTTCTCATGGAGCCTTGCTACGCCTTTCG